GTTTTTGAAATTTACTTTTTTGGTGTTTTTTTAACTTTTTATAGAAAAACATACAAAAAATAAATAAAAATAAAGAGAGTCGTTAAATTTTTTTTTTAGTGATTTTTTTCACTTTTTTTAACTAAAATTGAAAGTTTCTAAATAAATAAAAATAAGACAAAAACAGTGAGCGGGTCGGGTTAACCTATGACCAACTAGGGCCCCCAACCACACAATGGGGGTGATTTGGGGGAATATGATTTTGAGGCCCAAATTTAATTGATTTAAATCCTTGAAAAATGACCACAATAAATATCCGTTAGATATTTGTAATGGATGATGATGATTCATCATCTTCCTTGTTTTTTCCTTGTTTTTCCATTCTGCAGTTGAATTTTGCAACCATTTTTAGAGTAAAAGAGTAAAGGGATATGGCTATGGGGCTGGCATCATCACCCTTGTTTTCAGCTCCAATCTTACTTAGAAGGCCGCTCAACCATCACCACCCTCACTTGTTTTCAACTTTTGCTTCTCCTCAGCTTCCCTTTTCTGTAAGTTTGTTTCCATTGCTTTTTATTAGTATTGTTAAAATGGTTTTAATATGTAATTTTTGGGTCCTTTTTTTATTGATTGTTCAGATTTTTGAAGAAATATTAATGGGTTGTTGAGATTCATGCTTATTATAGTACTAATCTGGTTCTTATAGTTTTGGGTTGATTCAGTTGTGAATCATGAATTAATTAAACGATATCTGACCTTTTCATTATCTCAACAGATAATTAAATGGACCATTGGACCAGTTACCTTGTTCGCCAATGAATAATTTACAACTAAGACGGTTTTGGTCAATTTTCCGTTTCGAAAAACACTACCCTAATTTTTTTGAGTCCCAATGCCTCTGTATGTTTTTTAATAAAAAAAATAATTAAAATAGCAACTTCCCAAACAAGCTCTAAACATAATGGAGTAATTTCATGGCCCCACACATCCATTGTTCAATGAATAATTTTTTTATTTTTTTGTCATATGATAAGATATTAGGAGATTAGTAAATTAAATTACAATAAAAAGATCTCACTTACTCCATCGACTTAAAGGTTGAATATTTGACCTTTTCATTATCTCAAGAGACAAATAAATGGACCATTGGTCCAGTTACCTTGTTCGCCAATGAATAATTTACAACTAAGCCGGTTTTGATCAATTTTCCGTTTCGAAAAACACTATCCTAATTTTTTTGAGTCCCAATGTCTCTGTATGTTTTTTAATAAAAAAATAATTAAAATAGCAATTCCCAAACAAGCTCTAAACATGATGGAGTAATTTCATGGCCCCACACATCCATTGTTCAATGAATAATTTTTTTATTTTTTTGTCATATGATAAGTTATTAGGAGATTAGTAAATTAAATGACAATAAAAAGATCTCACTTACTCCATCGACTTAAATGTTGAATATCTGACCTTTTCATTATCTCAAAAGACAATTAAATGGACTATTGGACCAGTTACCTTGTTCGCCAATGAATAATTTGCAACTAAGTCGGTTTTGGTCAATTTTCCATTTCGAAAAACACTAACCTAATTTTTTTGAGTCCCAATGCCTCTATTGTTTTTTAATAAAAAAATAATTAAAATAACAACTTCCCAAACAAGCTCTAAACATGATGGAGTAATTTCATGGCCCCACACATCCATTGTTCAATGAATAATTTTTTTATTTTCTTGCCATATAATAAGATATTAGGAGATTAGTAAATTAAATTACAATAAAAAGATCTCACTTACTCCATCGACTTAAATGTTGAATATCTGACCTTTTCATTATCTCAAGAGACAATTAAACGGACCATTGGATCAGTTACCTTGTTGGCCAATGAATAATTAACAACTAAGCCGGTTTTGATCAATTTTCCGTTTCGAAAAACACTACCCTAATTTTTTTGAGTCCCAATGCCTCTATATGTTTTTGAATAAAAAAATAATTAAAATAGCAACTTCCCAAATAAGTTCAAAACATGATGGAGTAATTTCATGGCCCCACACATCCATTGTTCAATGAATAATTTTTTTATTTTTTTCTCATATGACAAGATATTAGGAGATTAGTAAATTAAATTACAATAAAAAGATCTCACTTACTCCATCGACTTAAATGTTGAATATCTGACCTTTTTATTATCTCAAGAGACAATTAAATGGACCATTGGACCAGTTACCTTGTTTGCCAATGAATAATTTACAACTAAGCCGGTCTTAGTCAATTTTTCGTTTCGAAAAACACTACCCTAATTTTTTTGAGTCCCAATGCCTCTGTAGGTTATTTAATAAAAAAAATAAGTAAAATAGCAGCTTCCCAAACAAGCTTTAAACATGATGGAGTAATTTCATAGCCCCACACATCCATTGTTCAATGGATAATTTTTTTATTTTTTTCTCATATGATAAGATATTAGGAGATTAGTAAATTAGATTACAATAAAAAGATCTCACTTACTCCATCGACTTAAATGTTGAATATCTAACATTTTCATTATCTCAAGAGACAATTAAATGGACCATTGAACCAGTTACCTTGTTCGCCAATGAATAATTTACAACTATGCCCGTTTTGGTCAATTTTCCATTTCGAAAAACACTATCCTAATTTTTTTGAGTCCCAATGCCTCTGTATGTTTTTTAATAAAAAAATAATTAAATTAGCAACTTCACAAACAGGCTCTAAACATGATGGAGTAATTTCATGGCCCCACACATCCACTGTTCAATGAATGACTTTTTTATTTTTTTGTCATATGATAAGATATTAGAAGATTAGTAAATTAAATTACAATAAAAAGATATCACTTACTCCATCGACTTAAATGTTGAATATTTGACCTTTTCATTATCCCAAGAGACAATTAAATGGACCATTGGACCAGTTACCTTGTTCGCCAATGAATAATTTACTACTAAGCCGGTTTTGGTCAATTTTCCGTTTCCAAAAACACTATCCTAATTTTTTTGAGTCCCAATGCCTCTGTATGTTTTTTAATAAAAAATAATTAAAATAGCAAATTCCCAAACAAGCTCTAAACATGATGGAGTAATTTCATGGCCCCACACATCCATTGTTCAATGGGTAATTTTTTTATTTTTTGTCATATGATAAGATATTAGGAGATTAGGAAATTAAATTACAATAAAAAGATATCACTTACTCCATCGACTTAAATGTTGAATATCTGACCTTTTCATTATCTCAAGAGACAATTAAATGGACCATTAGACCAGTTACCTTGTTCGCCAATGAATAATTTACAACTAAGCCGGTTTTGGTCAATTTTCCATTTCGAAAAACACTACCCTAATTTTTTTGAGTCCCAATGCGTCTGTATGTTTTTTAATAAAAAAATAATTAAAATAGCAACTTCCCAAACAAGCTCTAAACATGATGGAGTAATTTCATGGCCCCACACATCCATTGTTCAATGAATAATTTTTTTATTTTTTTGTCATATGATAAGATATTAGGAGATTAGTAAATTAAATTACAATAAAAAGATCTCACTTACTCCATCGACTTAAATGCTGAATATCTGACATTTTCATTATCTCAAGAGACAATTAAATGGACCATCGGACCAGTTACCTTGTTCACCAATGAATAATTTACAACTAAGCTGGTTTTGGTCAATTTTCCATTTCCAAAAACACTACCCTAATTTTTTTGAGTTCCAATGCCTCTGTATGTTTTTTAATAAAAAAAATAATTAAAATAGCAACTTCCCAAACAAGCTTTAAACATGATGGACTAATTTCATGGCCCCACACATCCATTGTTCAATGAATAATTTTTTTATTTTTTTGTCATATGATAAGATATTAGGAGATTAGTAAATTAAATTACAATAAAAAGATCTCACTTAATCCATTGACTTAAATGTTGAATATCTGACATTTTCATTATCTCAAGAGACAATTAAATGGACCATTAGACCAGTTACCTTGTTCGTCAATGAATAATTTACAACTAAGCCGGTTTTGGTCAATTTTCCGTTTCGAAAAACACTACCCTAATTTTTTTGAGTCCCAATGCCTCTGTATGTTTTTTAATAAAAAAATAATTAAAATAGTAACTTCACAAACAGGCTCTAAACATGATGGAGTAATTTCATGGCCCCACACATCCATTGTTCAATGAATGACTTTTTTATTTTTTTGTCATATGATAAGATATTAGAAGATTAGTAAATTAAATTACAATAAAAAGATATCACTTACTCCATCAACTTAAATGTTGAATATGACCTTTTCATTATCCCAAGAGACAATTAAATGGACCATTGGACCAGTTACCTTGTTCGCCAATGAATAATTTACAACTAAGCCGGTTTTGGTCAATTTTCCGTTTCCAAAAACACTACCCTAATTTTTTTGAGTCCCAATGCCTCTGTATGTTTTTTAATAAAAAATAATTAAAATAGCAAATTCCCAAACAAGCTCTAAACATGATGGAGTAATTTCATGGCCCCACACATCCATTGTTCAATGGATAATTTTTTTATTTTTTTGTCATATGATAGTAGATTACAATAAAAAGATCTCACTTGCTTCATCGACTTAAATGTTGAATATTTGACCTTTTCATTATCCCAAGAAGCAATTACATAGACCATTGGACCGGCTATCTTGTTCGCCAATGAATAATTTACAACTAAGTCGGTTTTGGTCAATTTTCCGTATCGAAAAACACTACCCTAATTTTTGGAGTCCCAGTGCCTCTATATATATATATATTTCCATATGAAGGTTCCGTGCACAAAAAAACCTATCTATACTTGTTCTTGAAAGGCAAAGTTCCTTCTCTGAACCTTTGAATATGGGTAGAACAGTGAAGTACGAGTTCATTGCTGATGAACGTGTTCGGAAGCAGACATTTCGAAAAAGAAAGGCTGGATTATTGAAAAAGGTGAGTGAGCTTAAAACTCTATGTTCTGTTGATGCATGTGCTATAATATATCCTACTACTGCAACAGGATCTGTTGCTCAACCGGATGTTTGGCCTTCTCCAAATGAAGCATCCCATTTGCTCCAAAGGTTTTGAAAACTTGCCTAGCATGAAACAAACTGCTAAAATGATGGACCAAGAAAAATTTCTTAAGAAAAACGTAACAAGAATGAGTAAGAATTTGGACAAGGAAAAAAGAAAAATCAGGGGGTTGAAATTGAACAACAAATGACCAAATTCTTGTTTGAAAAAAATTTGCATGATTTTAGCGACTTGGATGATCTGAGAGATGTTGCTTCCCTTTTGGATGAGAAGATTAATTTGATGAACGATAAGCTTGAAAACATCGCGAACGAGATTGGGAGTGGATCAAGGTGTGGCAAAGAGAAGCAACAATCCATTTGAAGATAAGCACCGATGAAACGGATCCTTGGGGCATCGGTGTATCATGAAAGTTCAATTCTTAGTGTGTTTAGTTGTGCTTTTTGTTAAGGAAGTTCGCTTTCCTGTTATCCCAAAAAAATGTATTTCTATTTTAAGAATTCTAGGTTGTTTAATGTCACAAACTTTGTTGGATTATTTACTTTTCTACTTCTAACCCTTTGATGTATTTTCTTAATTAACTTCAGGAAAAAACTATGATACACACATCTCAAAGGTATATACCATATGCATCTTATAATTAAACAATAAAATGATATAATTTTATATTTTTGAGTCATAACTAAAAAAAAAAAAAGTCATAACTAAACACTATATTAGACATAGCCAAAGATCTCATGAGTCATAACTAAAATAATATCATATTTGAAAAAAAAATAATATAATTAGAGGAGATACGTATAGTGGCATTTCCCTTAACTTTAATAATGATTATCTTATGGTAAGTTGAATACACATGATGTTAGTCATTCAAAAGAGTAATGTGCTTAAATAATATTTGTCATCTTCCATTTTTTAGTCGCTAAAAACGTGACACTCCTTTTTGGTTATCAATTTTTTAGTCGGTAAAAATGTGACAATCCTTTTTGGCTATCAATTTTTTAGTCGCCAAAAACTTTCAATTTTTTTTGGGCTACTAACAGTTTAGTCGCCAATAAGTTCCTTTTTTTATTTTGTGGATACTAAATGTTTAGTCGCCAAAAACTCAAGCTCTATTTTTTTTTAAATGCACAAATTGAATATTTTTCATTAATCTCTAAATTATATGCATTTCATTATCAATGCAACCTGTAACCTATACGTATACAGAATAATACAACTATCATTTATAATCTAAATCCATTATCAATAATACTCATTTCATTATCAACTATTCAAAAAATTTAACTTGTAACATCATTTTCCAAATATCATATAAATCCATACAAATCAAGTATAATCCATCTAAATTAAATATTACATATAAAAACATTGGATTTCCAAAACAGAGGATTATTCCAAAATAAATGTCTTCCATATACAGAACAAATGCTCTTTGTACACATCCACAATAGCTCACGTGAAAGCAATCCGTAAAAAAAGAAAAAAAAAATAACCATTAGCACTTATTCAATAAAATTGACATTTCAAATTATAACAATTATAAAATTAATAATTTAGATATATTTTACTCTGCATATAATCTCATCAAGATCATTTTAATATTCTGTTTTGTTCAAAATTTATACAACCTCCAAATTGAACCTCATGCCTGCCTAATATACTCTAGTTTGACAATTACATGCAATGTTTCCAAAATTTTCCTTTCTCACCAGTATGCAACATGATCTTAATTGTTTCAAAATCAAAATCCTTCAGCAATTTTTATCAAATTTTGTTACTTTTAACAATCTGCATTTTCACAAATCTTGAATATTGAAGGCATTACAGTTCCACAACCTCCAAGAGTCTAAATAATTACTTTACCAAACAAAATGATTGCTCTTGTTGCTGCCACAATAGGCATTCATAAATAAGTAAACCTAAACTCCATCATAAATTATATCCAGTACCAATTCTAACTAATGCAAATATCATCAAAGCACAAAATGAAAAGGGAAATAAATTCAAAAAATAATTCCAGATACATGAGAAAGTTTGTAAAATTATCTTTTAATGTTGTAGCGTTTAACATTAATACGTAAATATATATTTTTTAATTTGCACTGAAATAAAATTCTCCCAAAATGAAAAGTATGACAACTTAGGTTACCTTCACCAAAATTGTCCTATTTTCACACTCTGCTAGTCCCCCCCATCCTCTCTCTCTCTCTCTCTCTCTCTCTGCAAACACATATATGACAAATAGCAAGAACAAAATCCCCCAAGAAATTGGACAATTTATAGAACCAGCAAAATTTGAATTGTAACAAGAGCCAAAAAATTCCAATAATTGATAAACCAAACATCAAACTATTGTTCTAATTTGACAAATCACATCATATTGCAATAACAAAACAATCTAATTTGAACAACACCTACATATAATCATACACAAAGAGAAATTATACAGACATACATACAAGTATGAACCAAGTGAAGAGCCTCACCATGAATTGATCAAGGTCCTTATCATCCAGAGGCTGATTACCATTTTCAAGAATTGAATACTTGGCCACCACATGCTGCGATTGCACGAGTCCCGCTTTGATCCTCGGCAACCAATCCACCAGCGTAGCGATTTGAAGGCACTGAACATGCGTCGATAACAACTACTCGTACAGAGGATATGACAACACATCCCATTTACGCTTGGCGCTGTGCCAATTACTCTCTCGCTCCTTCGACTCACTTTCTCTTGATTCATTGTCGTCGCTATCTCCAGCACGTCGTCGGTCTCACTGTTGATGGATAGACAAATATACGAATATAGAGAGATTTTAGAGAGAGAAAATAAGGCAAATCTAGGTGAATCGGTGCTCCAGTTGCCCGCGACCATGAGGAGGAGCAGTTGATGCACGGCTGGTAGAGCGGCGGTGAGAGAGGAAAGGGAGAGGAGCAGTGGAGAGGGAGAGGCAAAGGGAGAGAGAGAGAAACGTTGAAAAGAGAGAGACAAAGGCGCTGGTTTGTGGTTTGGAAACCAAATATATAAATAGATATATATATATATATATTTTACACCATTAGCGATTAAATATTTTTAGTCGCCAATTAATTTTATAAATCCCTCTAAATGTTTTAGTTTTTTGGCGACTAAAATTTTTTTTGTCGCTGAAAATAAGTTTTTGGCAACCAAAATTATAAAAAAATAATTTTTTTATTTTCCATTCAGCAACTAAATGGTTTTAGTAGCCAAAACTCAATATACGACGACTAAAATATGTTTTTGGCGACCAAATTTATGTTACTCTTAGTGAGAAAATTGAAAATATAAATTGTGAAGAAGATGTATTAAAATGAAACTAAAATTGGGGGATAGTACCCTGGAAATAATTAAGTGTTCAAAATCATTTCTTAACATTGTGATTTGGAAATAAAGGAAACGAATCATCTTTATAAAATAAAAAAATAATACAACAAATAACTTTTTTAAAAAAATCTTTTCGTAACGTTTAGTAGAGTTTTAGAATTATAATTTGATAATAAAGTTATATTTTGAGTTTGTGAATTTTGAAATTATGATTTGAGTGTGGAAAATTTGTTTGGTTATGAGTTTTGAATTAAATTTGAAATAAATGATGTGACATATGATATATGATTCAAAAACTTACAACTCATAACCAAACACACTACTCAAAATTCTATTTAGAGCTCATAAATTTTTTTTAAAAATTTCAAAAATATTTTTTATTTAAAATATAAAAATAACAAGTAAAAAAAAAAAAAACGGAACACTGTTCCAGTCAACCGACCGAACGTCCGGAAAAACATCCGAAAAGATGACCGGATAAACAGATTTTCAAAAGTGATACGAACTCAATTTTTAAAATTCTAACCAAAAAAACGTACTCAAACTAAAGTGTGACAATCAGTTTCTAAAACTCCACTAAACACAGCATTTTAGCTTCCTTTCAAGAAATTCTTCAAAATTATCACTATTATATGATTATCGTAGGGCAATGATTCAGTGATGGGACAAGGATTATACTAGTCAAAATGAAATATTTACAAATACTATTTTATGACAAAATTCACATGCCATTTTTATTTCCAACTAGGCATTTGTATAATTTTTTTATTCTTTAGTGGTCTAACTATATTATTTCAAAATAACAAATAAAGTAAATTTTTTTAGGGGTATCTTTTTGCGGTCCATAACATTTATACACTGAAAAAATTAAGATTTATTATTGAAATTTACTTTTTTGGTGTATTTTTGACTTTTTATAGAAAAACATACCCAAAAATAAATAAAAAATAAAGAGAGTAGTTGATTTTTTTTAGTGATTTTTTTGACTTTTTTTTAACTAAAATTGAAAGTTTCTAAATAAATAAATAAATAAATATAAGACAAAACAGTAAGCGGGTCGGGTTAACCCATGACAACTAGGACCCCCAACCACACAATGGGGGTGATTTGGGGGAATATGATTTTGAGGCCCAAATTTAATTGATTTAAATCCTTGAAAAAGAACCACAATAAATATCCGTTAGATATTTGTAATGGATAATGATGATTCATCAGCTTCCACTTGTTTGTTTTTTACATTCTCCAGTTGAATTTTGCAACCATTTTTAGAGTAAAAGAGTAGAGGGATATGGGGTTGGCATCATCACCCTTGTTTTCAGCTCCAATCTTACTTAGAAGGCAGCTCAATCATCACCACCCTCACTTGTTTTCAACTTTTGCTTCTCCTCAGCTTCCCTTCTCCGTAAGTTTGTTTCCATTGCTTCCTTTTTATTATTATTATTAAAATGGTTTTAATTTGTAATTTTTGGGTCCTTTTTTTTATTGATTGTTCAGATTTTTTAAGAAATATTAATGGGTTGTTGAGATTCATGCTTATTATAGAACTGATCTGGTTCTTATAGTTTTGGGTTGATTCAGTTGTGAATCATGAATTAATTAAACGATATTACACCACCTTCTTTTTTTCTTTTCTTTTCTCTTTTTTTCTTTTTTTTTTTTTTGGTTTTAAAGAATCACTCTGTAATCAGCTATGATTTTGAGGCCCAAATTTAATTGATTTAAATCCTTGAAAAAGAACCACAATAAATATCCGTTAGATATTTGTAATGGATAATGATGATTCATCAGCTTCCACTTGTTTGTTTTTTACATTCTTCAGTTGAATTTTGCAACCATTTTTAGAGTAAAAGAGTAGAGGGATATGGGGTTGGCATCATCACCCTTGTTTTCAGCTCCAATCTTACTTAGAAGGCAGCTCAACCATCACCACCCTCACTTGTTTTCAACTTTTGCTTCTCCTCAGCTTCCCTTTTCTGTGAGTTTGTTTCCATTGCTTCTTTTTTTATTATTATTATTATTAAAATGGTTTTAATTTGTAATTTTTGGGTCTTTTTTTTTATTGATTGTTCAGATTTTTGAAGAAATATTAATGGGTTGTTGAGATTCATGCTTATCATAATACTGATCTGGTTCTTATAGTTTGGGTTGATTCAGTTGTGAATCATGAATTAATTAAACGATATTTACACTTTTTTTTTGTTTTTGTTTTAAAGAATCACTCTGTAATCAGCAAAAAAATAAATAAATAAATAAATTGAGTAGAAGTTTGAGTAAAAGGCTTCATTTGATATGAAACACTCCAATTGATAAAATCAAATTTTAGTAAAATTACCTAGTGTCAAGTTTTGAGTGGATGCCAGGAGACAGAGTAAAGGAGAATTTGGGTAAATGCACCTATGTGTCAAGTTTTGATTGGATAGAAATTTGAGTAATGGTAATGAGTCTCCCTTGATTTGAGTCAAAATTTGAGTAAAACTCAAGTTGGTATAGGTTTGAGTAAAGGAGTGGAGGGGGTTTTAGTGGCTGCTTACTCAAATTTATGTTTGAGTCAAGATTTGGGCAAGAGTTGGGGATGGGAAGTGGTTGTGGTCTGAGGAATGAACCAGATTAGAATCATTAGTAAGCAAGGTAGATGTATCTGGTATTGTTGTCATGTTTATTGATCCTTCTGCCATAGAACCTCCCCCCTCCCGCTCCACCTAATTTGTTCATGGTTGGTGTGTGTGAAATGTAGCTTTTGTATGTGAATAAAGTTTTAAGTGGTAATTTTGATAATTGAAGCACGTTCGTGTACGAGGAAAATAGAATGACATTTTGGGTGTTCTAAAAGATCCATAGAAGTTTCAATGTCAACACATTTGGAGATTTGAAGCTTACGTTACATCTGGCACCATTATTAGCGTCATTTGCAAAATGGACATCAAGGATTCCAAGCAAAAGGATTTGTGGGGAACAAATTCTCTCTTTAGACCACTATCTTAATAGTAAGAGCTCCCATATTTGAGTTTTTGGTTGGATGGATGCTTTATGTTGTTGATCTTTAGAAATGTAAAATGGTCTACTCTTGATTTTGAAACTTACAAAAATTATGATTTGGTACCTTAACCTTCACTTAATTAGGTAAAAATAGGCAACCATGGTTTATATTCAGTTAACCATTGAAATCCTTTGCCATGTCTTATTCATCATACTCATATATGGGGTGAATGGCCTCATACACTTTCTGGTACACGACCTTTGATGGTTTTAATTTGGGTATATTTTGCTTGGCATGATATGGTGAGAAAAAGTGATGTATAAAGAGAGAGTTCCATGACCAAGGTTGACCCAAAAATGCATTTCTTAAATGGTAACTGCAACACATCCCATCCCAGTAACACGTTGCTTGCAAAATAAATGATGGTTCAACATGTAAATTGTGTGTTGTGATAATTTGGTATATTTATCAATTTAACTTGTTATCATTCAAACCCAAGTGAACTTTTTCTTGTTATAGCCATACCTACCTAGATCACTTGTAAACAAGTAGAGGAAACTAGTTCTACAATTTACAGAAGAAAATGATGGGAGTGCCAATCATATGTTGTTTACTTGTCATTGTCTTTTTTTGGCTGTAAAATGGAATATTTATATATTAATATAATTGGTCTGGTCAAATATGTATATTTTGAAATTTGCATTTTATGCTTGAAGTAGAGCACATAAGAGGATTTCACTTAAAACAAACATGTCTTCTCTGCCTTTTATATGTTAAAGTGCTAAAAAGTTGTTATTCATAATTGGAAATTTTGACTATAAAGGCTTCAGTTATTGTCCAGAGAATCTGCAATTTCAAATCCTCACCTGCCCTCATTATGTTTTATAAAATCTACGGCGTGTAAAGTATCTCACAACCCAGTGGAAGTTGAAGAAGGTATAAATGATGAGGCTTGTGAGCTAGTCAGTGGAGTTGAGATTTCGATAGGGGAGGGAGATGACAATATCCTTGCTTATCTTTTCACGGCAGTGAAGAACAACAACGGAACCGGCATCTTGCTCTTGTCTGATATCTTTGGATTTGAGGATTCATCCACTAGAGATTTCGCATATCGTGTTGCCTGCAATGGTTACAAGTATGTTTCCTGATTTTTAGACATCATGTGTGAAAATACATTTGTACTACACAACAACTACCAAAGACACTTGTATTAGATGATGTTTGATACATTGGGAATAGGGCATAGTCAGAAGTGGCCTCAGTGCTAGGCAAACAAGATTTTCCATTTGTGATCACACTAACAATTAAAAAAGTAGGGAGAGCTATCTTAATCTCGAATTTTTTTTTAAATATTATACTGCTGGTTTCAATTTGTTTTGGGAATTGAAAGTTTTATACTTGAATGTAATTAGTAAATTTGCCCTTCAACATAAAAGAAAAATATATTTCAAATAAAATTTTAAAAATGCTTAGTTTAAGTTTTTTATGCCTTTGGCACCTGAACAAACTTGTTTTGCATTTCAACATAAAAGAAAAATATATTTCAAATAAATTTTTAAAAAGGCTTCATTTAAGGTTTTATGCCTTTGGCACCTGAACAAACTTGAGCATTCTGTATCTAATGCTGCTGGTCTATGCATTGATATCCATGTTGTCTTGTCTTTCCATATCTTTGTCATCGTTGTTAACGATTGTTAAAATGATCCTTTATATAATATTTACCGGTGTTTTTCTTGAAATAAATATTGTTAGTGTACTAGTACCGGACTTGTTTCGCGGGGATCCATGGGCAAAGGACAGACCAAAGGCTTTATTTGAAGAATGGCTTGCACAACAAACCCCGGAAAGGATTGCAAAAGACATTACAACCTCTAAAAAATGGATGATGGATGAGTTTGTAGCTGCAGGAATCTCAAAGAAGCTTGGTATCATCGGATTCTGCTTTGGAGGTGGCCGAGTAATAGATGCGCTCGCCCAGGACGGGGGTGCCTGTTTTGGCATTGGGATTTCATTCTATGGCACAAGAATTGACCCATCTGTCGTTGCTAATATAAAGGTGCCTGTATTGTTCATTGTAGGTGACAATGATCCGAGTTGTCCGGTCAGTGCCTTGGAAGATATTGAGAAAAGAATTGGTACAAAAGGATCTAGGGTTTTGAGTTTTAAGGGAAGAGGTCATGGGTTTGCCCACCGGCCTCAATCACCTGAAGAAGATGGTGATGCGGAACAGGCTTTTACGGTGATGAGAAATTGGCTGTATGATGGCTTGGTTGTAATATAGGCAGAGAACTGACTTGTTTGGTTGTTTGTTTGTTTGTTTGTTTGAATACAGTAATAATAAATTCTCTCTCCCATGCATGTACTTAGTAGATTAGTCTGCCATTTCTATTGCAATGCACCTAGAAACTGAAGTTCAATGAGTTGTAATTTGTTGGCACAAAGTAGATTAGTGCATGTATATGTATGTACAACAATGCCTGGAGACCCACATTTTACAGCCACAAATATATTCATAATGATGTGGCAAAGGTGGTGGATTTCATATAATTGAATATATAATCAATCAAAAACTAACACTTATCGGATCACATAATTGTGAGTTACATTGTAAGAAATTTTTGAGAATCTCAAACATTTCCATACCAAAAATACCCAATGCTCCAAGATGGTCTCCAGTAGTTTTGGATAAAATATGTGGCTATTGAATTGGATTCTCCACAACAAAAAAGCAAATTGAGTTTGATGAGAGGTCATCAGCAACCTAAAATCAGTCGCACGATCTGACTGCCATCATGCTTAGGCTGTAGCATATTGTGTTTTTTTTTTCATTTAATCTTTCTTTTTTTTTTTTTTTTTTTTTGGACTCTTCATACTTATTCGCATAAAAATAAAAAAATATCCCAACAAACTTTCAAATTTTCTGGAAGTTTTTTTCAGGAGGTGAAAGAGCTGGTTGTTGGTTTGAAGTACAAGTTTTTTTGGGGGTCTTGTACAGCTTGGTCTCCGGTAGTGTGTTCGGATGAATTTTCCACACACAGATAACTGAGTTTCAAGTAAATAGAAGACTTCTCTCGATTGACACCGAAGTCCACATACTAGCTAGGAGCAGAGTTAAAAACAGGAAGAAAAACAAAGAAAGTGATCCCCACGTTAATAAAGGCGACAAAATTCAAAATCTGCTCATCAAACTTTAGTTCCATGCTTGATTAAGCCTTCTTTAGATGACAAATTTAGTAATCAAATGTTATAATAAAAAGCCATTACTGTGCTTCTTCTTCTTCCCTTTTTTTTTTTTTTTTTTAAATTTTTTTTAAACCCAAGCCTCAATTAGTATTACAATTACATAACAAAAGGTAATATGGTTCACAAAAAACTTCCAGTACATCTGGTTAATTTATTAATCATCCAGAACAATCTTGGCAATACATGGATAAAAACCAAGCGGGGGAAAGGCAAAAAATAATCTGAACTTCTGATTTCGATCCCAAAAACTTGAGGGCACTTCAATAACTTCCACATCTCAGTCCTGTCCATCCTGGAAACAACAAGAAATCCATCACACTTCTTGAAATGTATGTGTATCTCATAAAAGCATACAACAGTTGAAAAGTAAAACAAAAAACAAAAACAGAAGATATGGACATGTTGTAACCACCACATGGCTATCATACTTGAATCCGAGTCTAGACCCCAAATTTCACGACTGTATCTACCGTTTTCAAGAGTGGTTTCCCTGCTCATGCATCTATTGATAGAAGTGTTTGGACACTTCATTCATCCAGGACATTCTCTTGCAAGTCTTTCTATGATAAAATTATTGATGATCCAAATGTACCATTCTTTGTCATTCGTAAGTTAATTTAGAGTGCATATGTGCCCCTTAAGGTTAACGTATTTTGTATGGACCAGGGCTCACAAGAAACTTAATAAAAATGATTTGGTTAAAAAATAGAAGGCAAATTGCTTGATACACCCTCAGTGGTGTGTCAGTTGTAGGGGCATCAAGGAGAGCATTGATCATATATTCATGCCATTGATTTTAAGCATGGACTCTTTGGAAATGTTTTATATGTGCGGAGTTTTGGGTTATTTGGTTAGAGAGAGAAGCACGAAGTTTTTTGGATAAATTTCAAGGTTTAGGGAGTATTTGGGACAAAATTTGTTATTTGCCTTAAAAAAAAGAAGGTTTAGTTGGCCAAATGTTCACATAAACTGATTATTCTACTTCTAAATGTTCACATAAACTGATTATTCTTTCTGAAATGGATAAAAAGGGTCATCAAATCTCTCTCTCTCTCTCTTGGATCGACAACAAGAAATTATTAATAAAAAGAAAAAATATACAGAGAGTACAAGAAGTACAAGGGGATGAACCGAACCAAACCAAATCAAGCCTTAAGTCCCATCAAATAGGGTCGACTACATGAATCCTTCTTCTCTACTCGACTCTATCCAAGGCCATTTCGTTAGTCAAATTAAGGAAATTCATATCTCTATTTACTACACTAGTCCACATCAATCTAGGTCTATTCCTTCCCCTACCATCTACCATTACTATATCGCATCTTTTCACTACTACCTCTGTTGGTCTCCGACCAAACCATCTCAATTTATTCTCCCTCAACTTATCTTCTATCGGGTACTAATCCTACCCATTCTCGAATATACTCATTCCTAACTCTGTCTTTCTAGTCTTGCCACACATCCACCTTAGCATCCTCATCTCAGCAACACTCATCTTCTCTATATGTTATTTCTTAGTTGCCTAGCATTCCGTCCCATACAACATCACTAGTCTAATAACCGTTCTATAAAACTTCCCTTTTAGTCTAAAGGGTACTCATTTACCGTACAATACTCCAGACGCACTCCTCCACTTAAGCCACCCTGCCTTAATTGTGTGGACCACACCCGCTCCAATCTCCCTAATCGTTGCGATAATCGATCCTAAATAACAAAAATTTCCACTCTTAGGTAGTTCTTGGTTCTCAATCTTCACTTCTCCTCTGCTTTCATTATGACTGTTACCAAAATTACACTCCATATACTATGTCTTAGTTTTGCTTATCCTAAATCCTTTAAATTCAAGTGCTTTTCTCCAAATCTCCAACCTAGTGTTAACTCTTTCTCTAGTCTCATCCACTAACACAATATCATCTGCAAAAAGCACACACCATGGCACATCATCCTAAATATTACGTGTCAACTCATCCATAACTAAAACAAAAAGATAAAGACTTAAGGTTGATATTTGGTGTAACCCTACAAAAATTGAAATTCACTCGTCTCTCCAACAAGCGATCTAATAGTGGTCATCACACTTTCATACATATCCCTAATCACATCAATGTAACATTTTGTCACTCCTTTCTTCTCTAACATCCACCAGATTATATTCTGAGGTACTCTATCATAAACTTTCTTAAGATTGATAAAAACCATATGAATGTCTTCTTTTTTTTTTCTATGCTTTTCTATTATTCTCCTCAAAAGATAGATCGTTCCCATTATTGACCTACAAGGCATAAACCCAAATTGATTCTCTAATCCCTCTCTTATATCTCACAATCAACGTTCCATCACTCTCTTACACTTCCATTGTGTGACACATTAACTTAATTCCTCTATAGTTGTTAAAATTCTGGACATCTCTTTTATTTTTATATATTGGCACTAAAATACTTTTCCTCCACTCCTCTGGCATTTTCCTAATCAACAAAATCTTATTAAATAACCTAGTCAACCAAACAACCCCCTTCTTACCCAAACATTTCAATGCCTCAATAGATATATCATCGAGTCCTAAAACCTTATTCAATTTCACCTTCTTAAGTGCAAACTCCACTTCAAAGTTCCTAATCCTATAATAGAACATATAGTCCTGGTTTTCTTTATTACTGCCTACTTCCTCTCATTTTAACCTACATCCATGTTCCTCATTTAACAGCTTCTCAAAATAGTTCTTCCACCTCTCCTTAATCTCTTCATCCTTCACCAATACCTTAGAGTCCTCACCCTTGATGTGCTTAACCTGATTAAAATCTCTTGTTTTCCTCTCTTTTATCTTAGCAAGTTTGTATATCCTCTTTTCTCCCTCCTTACTATCTAGTCTAGTGTATATGTCATCATAGGCTTACAACTTAATCTCCCCTGCTACTTTTTTGACCTCCTTATTGGCCAATCTGTAGTACTTGAAGTTTTCCTCAGTTCTATCATTCTACCAATTTTTAAAGCTTTCTTTTTTCGTCTTTATTACCGCTCGAACCTCCTTCCTCCACCACCAAGTTATCCTAAAGTTGGATCCCTTTCCTTTCGACTCTCCAAAAACTTCTCTTGAGATTCTCCTTATACAATTGACCATCGAGTTCCACATATTGTTAGCATCTTCTTCCAACTTCCAAGTACCTTCTTTATTCATTCTATTCTTAAATGTGTCTAGTTTATCCCCTTTTAGGTCACACCATCTAGTTTTGCGACGCCCATTATCTTTCCGAATTTGGTATTGCCCTTTAAAATATAAATCTAGTACTAAAATCCTATCTTGAAACGTCAAGCTCTCCTCAGGAATCACCTTACAGTCGTTGCATTTTAGACGGTCCCCTTTTCTTATTAGAAAGTAATCTATTTGGCTCCTAATTGACCCACTCTTGAAGGTTATCAAATGCTCTTCTTTCTTCTTATACATAGTATTGGCCACCACTAGGTCGGAAGTCAACGCAAAATCTAAACTATTGTCTCCAACCTCATTTTTATCACCAAAACCATACTCACCATGCACCCTCTCATACCTTAATTTATCTACTCCTACATGGCAATTGAAATCACCACCATTCAAATTAAAATTTTCTTATATTCTTATATTTTATATATATATATATATATAAAATAAGAAAGAAAGAAAGAAAAGAAAGAAAGAAAATAAAAAAAAAAAACAAAGAAAAAATTAAAAAAAAAATAAATTTCAAACCGGTCCGGTCCAATCAACCCGTGACCGGGTCGACCGGTTCACCGGTTTAACCGGTGGGTTCACCGGTTTTCAAAAAATAGGCCGGTTTTTACAATTGGCCGGTTTAAGGGGCCTGACCGGACCGGAACCCCATCCGGTCACCGGTTCAACCGGTCGAACCGGCCGGTCCGGTCCGGTTTTAAAAACCATGACCAAAACCATACTCACCATGCACCCTCTCATACCCTAATTTATCTACTCCTACATGGCAATTGAAATCACCACCAATAACTAGGGGGATGATGTCCACCAAAATGAAAGAACCAAAAAAAAAAAGGAAACATTAGTCTACAAGAAAAGACAAGGTACCATTTTGTTCATAAAGAAGATGAAATGAGAGCAATATCGAGTGACCAACACCAACCTCTCAAATCTCAAAGAAAAGCTATAAATCCAATCATACAATATTGGGGTAAATTGTAACGCAGCAAGAAATGACGTGTCCACAAATTGGCATGGCTAAATGAGTATAATTGGATGTTGGAAACAGTGTTTTGTTAGTATTAATCTTAAAATAATCAGACTACTAAAGGGCAGCCCAGTGCACAACGCTCCTGCCACTGAGGGGTCTGCGAAACAATTTCCCTTTCTTTTTTTCTTTTTTGCCATTTTTTGCTACCAAGCAAAGATTATATAAATCATATAAAATCAGTTAAAAACATGAGACCCACCGGAGAAGTGGGAGTATCAGAAATCTTAGGGGTGGCCAACTTTGCAGGTGATCCATCAAACTTGTAAGAGCACTCTGTGTATGCAGATCCAAGACCTATCCCAGCACCAAAAGTTACTGCTGCCCAGCGTGTCACAGGACTCCCTGACACAACAAATGAGAAAAACTCCATCAAGATTTCAATTTCAAGCATGCAAAATTTGTTTCCTTGAAATGTAGCTAGCAAGAGAAAACCAGAACAATGTAACCTATAATACTCATTAATTCAATAACCATGTGTCCATCCAAAGATCAGACATGGTCATCTACATGGTAAATTTTGATATCACCACACCAACACAAGACAAGTGAATGAACTAATCAATTTTCCGGTTTGGTTCAGATGTTGGTCAAAGAAATGCAAAACTTTAGCATTTGTGTGAAAAATAGTAGTCTGAACAATGAGGCATGATGGAAAAGATCATAAAATTGAAAAAAGCAACAGCCACAACATGTAGAAACCAATGCGTGTGAGAATTTCATAATATTGAGACCTTACATGGTAATTAACATCAAGCATGAACTCAAATTACAAATAACTATCAAATACAAGATATAGCATATACAAATTATATAGTGCTTGCTCAAAACCTAGCCAAATAATAATCATCTATCTATCAATTATATAATGCACACAACTCGTTTGGTGTTAACCTGTGTCACAGAATTTTGATTCCTAAAAAACCACAACAACTTTACTTTTGCCTAGCAGTTATTGTAATGATTAAAAAGTAAAATCAACTGCTAGCCACCACACAAACACACACACACACATACTCTTTCTCTCATCCAAGGATGATCTTGATATTGAGAATTTCAATTGCACATGTAGTGTGCTCAGTTTTCTAGTAATAATAAAAGGATGCAGAACCCTTAAAAAGCCAAAAGTACAACAAAGTCCAACCCAATAATGTCTTTATCATCCCAACCCTCCAGCCTTCCTCAATCTCCCAAGTTGAAAACACATCCAATCAATGCTTTTATACCCTTAAAAATTTTAAATTCAGCCCAAGTCAACCAGAAAACTTCTAGTCCGCCACAACCCACGTTCAAATTTACAAAAAACCACCCAAATTTACAACATCAATAAATCTTCCAGCAATTGGTTTCCGATAAACAACTATTCTACTTAAAAAGTGCAGTACGCAAATGTAAATCATCGTGCTTCAATACAAGTAAGCACCAAATTATTGAATCAAACCAAGGTAAAATTCAAAACTTTCTCCGACCCACTTCTTTTTATAGAATTTTCTCGGGAAACAATCACGGAGAGAAGAAAACAAACATACTGAAGAGAAGGAGACCACCGAAGGCACCGGCAAAAGAGGAGTAAACGAATCGGCGGACAGTCAAATCCATACAAGCGTCCCACTTTGCATTCAGATCGAACTGCTGAGGAGGGATTTGTTTGCTTTCTCCCATTTTTTTGCCCTTTGCTTTCTCTTTCCTTCTCTTCGATTTTCTCCTTGTTCTTGGCCGAGGGTTATGTTGTGCTGTTCGTCAAAAGGCGCAGAGGCCATGACCCGACGCGACCTGCCCCCATCGGGTTTGGCCCCGTCCAGGTCTGAGGATATGGGCTGGGCCGAAAGGCCGTAGGCCAGTCCAAACAGTCCCTAAAGTATTTATTACAAGGTGGTTTGGCATCACCTAATAAGTATACATTTTTTATCTTTTTATCCTTTTTAGATCACATTATCTCTTTATTTTTCTATATATTTTTTCGTAAAAAGTCAAAAAGTATACTTATTTATTTTTTTGGATCAAAACCTGACTAATTTCCAGAAGTGTACAAGCTCTCGGTAAAAAGTTTCTCGCAAGTGTATCACAGTTAATTCAAGGATTTATTCCAATCTGATGACCCTAAAGAATTGCTAACACCTAAGAGATTTTGATCCCTAAATCTTGGAGGGAGTATACCCCTAAGACCCAAGCAGATCAACCCCTTGAGTTCAAATAATCCCAGCCAAGTTTGTTTGGTGGACTAGGTGGATGAGATTGTTAGTGAGGGAGAAGATTTAGTATAGGGATTGTTAGTGAGAAGATTTAGTAAAAATGTGTTTGTTTTGATAATAGTAGGAGATATGGTTAGTGATGAGATTATTAAATTATTTTTATATAAAACAAAAAAATTCTAAAACAAATATAATTTTTTTTACAAATAATAGGCTACACTTGGGTTAACAACCCAAAAATAAATAAATAAATACACTTATTTTTTTAATCCCCCTATTTTACTAATCCCATACTCTCCCCAGCTTTGTTAATCCAGTAGGGCAATGGGATTGCAATCCAGCTGAACAAGGAATCCATTCACAAATTTCCTTAGCCAAACATGCTTTCAAAGTTCCAACCTCTCTATCAGTCCAATCCCACCACTGACGGGAGATAACAAACATGGCCAAAGTATTCAACTAATTTCATTTTGATACCTAATGATATTAATACAATTTAGTCTCCTACCCTAAATATTGTCTAAAAATCATATAAAAAAAATACTTACATCAACCTCATATGCATTTGGAAAGTAATTGAGGAATTTATCCCATTTCTTATCTAAATAAATTGCGAGACACGTGAAATGCACGTTATTTAGAAAATAAAGTTTCACTCCATTATTGAGAACCAAATATTTGTCTATTTGAATGATAGTATTTGGCATAGATCAATTCGTTAAAATGTCTTCTTATGTTTATCAATCCTTGATTTGAGCCTAACATAAGCATTTTTCATCCCTTCTTTAAGATAAGAGGCTATATTAAATTAATGTGTGAAGTTTAGGGATCCAATTAATACAAATTTAAAATTAGTGACTGAAATGAAATAAGTGATATGCTTTAGGAAACATTTATATAATTTGAGTAATTGTAGAATATTAGGTGATTATTCTATTTTGTTACTTGTGCAAATTAAAATGAATAAAAATAGAGACACAATAAATTACTTAAAATTCTATCAACTACTCAGCTTGGTAGTGGTCTCCACAATGTGTAGAATCAATCAGAATGTGAGTAGTTGGTAGAATTTTAAACAGTTTAAAGTGCATCGGTGAGCAAAGTTGAATTAAATTTATTTATTTATATATATATATATATATATTTGGATGTAAAACATACTTTACTATGATTAGTCCTTTCTTCACGGAAAAGGACCAAGAGCAAATTTGTATTAGCTGGGCTATTGACAACCTCACCTCCAAAAGGAAGAAGCCTGTTTACAGGTTTAAACTCAGACCTTTTCTCCTATTGAAGGAAGAAGGAAGGAAGACCTTGAATTGAATTGAAGCATCAGAACAAGGGCACATCTCTTCATAATGCTTGAAGATAATAGAATACATTTACATCATCTCAAGTTAGGTTTCATTTTTTTAAGGACCGCCAACCATCTTTGCTGCTAATGTAAATTTTGTTAATGGCATTGCTTTTATAGAAAAGGACTCTGTTATGAATGGACCAGAAAACATCATTCCATATGGTTTATTTGTCCTTTCAATTCTATGCTTTAGATTTGTAAATTTTCTTAACTTATTGTTATTTACATGTGGTCTCTAATTATGCATATTCATGTTATATCCACAGCAGCCCCAAAGAAACAAAAAAAAAAAAAATCGGAGAGTGAGAGAGCATATAAGAAATGGCAAACATATTCTATGAAATAAAGATTTTTTTAGTTTATTTTGCCTTAAGCTAAACATTCATAAAAGTGGCATACATATGGCGAGTGAGTGCACCATCACAGAGAACATAGGAATGACTTGAATTCACTGGATAGAGTAGAGAGAGGCCAAAAACAGGCATATGTAAACAAAATATATGACACATACTTGAAGTACGAGTGACACATGATACATTTACACACGACACAATCTCTTTCCACGGCTTTTTGTTTGATGACATTCCCCTTTCTCAATGGAGGGATAAGATTTATGAGATGCATGCCTGGTTTACTGGTGAACTCCTCCAGCATGGAGCCGCCATGCCAACTGTTATTGATAAATTTGTGGCTAAAATAGTAGGGTGAGGGGTTTGCTTAAATAGTAGTAGAGCATTATTACTCGAAGTTATAGTGCTTGTCAACCGTCTCAGAGACATCCCAAGTGCAACTCATTCCTTTCGGGAACTCAACAAAGTCACCGGCACCAATCTCAACTGCCTCATCACTACCATCAGGGTACACCTTCACCTTTCCCTTGAGCAAATAGCATGTCTCTTTGCTACTGTATGTCCATGGGAATTTGCTTGGAGGGCATCCCCACCTATGCATTCATTCAAATACACAAGAAAGAAGGAACATTCAAAATCTCTCACTACCATATAGAAAGGCGAACTTGTTAAGCAGCAGCAACGGGAGATAAATGCACATTCTTAAAATTTTTAAGGATAACTCTTTAGTTAGCAATCTAAAACTTACATACATTGAATGCCCTCCTATATTGCTGTCCACTGTAAGATTGACAAGTTTTCGAATTTTTATGTCTAGAAAGTTTAATTCCCAGTTCAGTGTGTTTATCCAAGTCCGTATATATGTCAAGAATTAGTAGCCAACAAGAAGTGAAAGGAAGAGCCAACCCAATGAAAAATACAAAAGGAAGAGCCAGCTTGCACAAAGATAGTTTTTTTTTCTGGAACAATACAGCAAGTCCCATTTTTCATGTTGGATAAAGATAGTCTTTTCGTTAAAAATTGTTGACATTTTTGGAAGCGGAAACAAGTCCCATACATATTTCACTTTTTAATTTCTAGTTTGCAAATTTTTTGAAAACACAAGTTTGATAATGAAATCAGATTTCTGTTTTTCGTTTATAGAAAAAAGGAAACATTCTTTCCGATTCATTTGCCAAGAAAACAAAACAACATGCTTGGCAGGCACAGATGTTTACAAAATAATAAAAGCATGATCGATGATTTCTAGGGTTTTTCTCTTGCAATTATGGAGAAAGTATTGTGCAAAACCTTGGTGTGTGTGAGATTCAATTTCTAGGGTTTTCAATGGTAAACTACTTCAATTTCCAATTGTAATTTATGAACATCATAACCAACAACCAAACATGACATAGAGAAAAAGAGGGTACTAACTTGGGCCAATTTCTAACACCGAGTTGGGTGAGCTTGGATTCAGGAGGGTTCTTTTGAATCTTAATTCCCAATTTCTCAGTAGTTGTTGTTGTTGTGCTCATGTTTTCTGCTCCTGCTGCCCTCACTATCAGTTTCCCTTCCTGGCCTCTGCTCTTCTTGTTGTTCCTCAATTTTGAAACCCTAACCCTAGGAGGAAAGGGAGGAGGACTTGAACTCAAGAAAGATGAGAGAGAGTGTTTGGTTATGGTTTTGGCGTTGTAACAGTTGGGAACAGACTTGTCCACACCACCCACCAGTAATAATGGATTAGTAAGACTTGAAGCCATGGGAAAAATTTATTAATTTGGAAATGCCAAAAATTTTCTGAAATTGAAAATAGGGATGATGGGGATTCAATCCTCTGCTTAGGAAAACCAAAATTGGTTTGTATGTGGATCTATCTTTAGTCTCTCTCTGTTCTTTAATCCATAACTATTCTCCTCCACTCATTTCTCATCCTCACCATCTGTTCTGTCACTTTGGAGCTACTTTGTTTGGATTGGTGTTAAACAAAATTATTATGTAAAATCAATTTTCTACATATAATTACATTGAATTTTTTTAAAATTTTATTCATATTACATTTAACTAATTTATTATTACTCATAAATCGAAAAATAATTTTGTTATGTATCTTATAGTGACATGTATATTTTATCTTATTTGTCTTTATATCTTCACATTATTCACATTAATTTCGTTTCACTTCATTATAAAGAACGTCGATATATTTATGCAAAAATTATAAAACTTATATGTTTTCCAAACCAAAAGAAAAGTAGAGAACTTATTCAATGCTCCTTCTTCCCTTCATTTCTTGTCACCCATCAGCCCCTCTCATTCTCTCCCCTAAGATAGGATGTGGTGATTAGAAATGGAAAGGAATGGTGAGGGAGTTGGGAAGAAAAGGGCGTTTGTGGTAATCAGTGATAAGAAGGGATTGAAATGTAGTGGTTAGAGATGGGAGTGGTTGGGGGTAGTAAAGAGAGTTAGCGAGAATGGACAAGTATAGTAGTAGTGATCGGGGTGAGAAGCGTTGGGGTAGCGGGAGAGCCAGGAAGGAAGTTAGGATAGCTATCGGTGGCGACAATGGTGAGAAAGTTTGAAGTAATGGCTTTGAATGGGATAAAAAGAAATACAATAGAGTTTGAAGATAATTAGAATTTGTCCTTTCTAATAATTTGAATAGGGTTATCATCATTGAAAAAAATTCATACAATGTGAATAGTCAAATAATATTTTTTAAGTTTGATAATGCGGCACCGTTTGGGAAGGGATTTTGTGGGCTTTTTTGGCTATTTTAGCCACAAAAGACAAAATAGGCTATTTTAGCCACAACAAACAAAACATCACATCCAACCCATAATCATTACACTCTTCTCTCACAAAAAAAGTCAAAAAAGCCAAAAAGCCAAAAAGCCCTTTCTAAACCAAGTTTTTTAGCCCAGGTTAAAATAGCCAAAAAAGTCAAAAAGCCAACCCACTTCCCAAACCAACCTGCAATATGGTCAGTGAGGGATGGATCAAACTAATCCACGTGCTCTACGGGTTTACTGGCCTCGGGCTTCTTGGAGCACCCTTCCAAAAAAAGTCCAATGGGAAGGTGCCAAAACTGGAGTGATTCCTCTCCGTGGACTCTCCAACGATTAAGTTAAACCAGAAGTGATCGAAAAAAAAGAGTGAGTAGAGAGAGAAGAAGAAAAGAAAGAGTATTACTTGTTTTAAAACGTACATCGGAAGCTTTCTTATATCCCTTACTAATCATTTCCTTGTTTATTCCTAACTGTCTCAGTGGCCGAAAGTCTATCACCTCTTGTTCGTCACCCATGGCCGTTTCATCATGCTTCCTCTTGAGGAGTCTTGTTGCATTTAATGCTTGGCGCATGGGCTTAATAACCCTGCAAAATCTTTGTCTGCTAGGTGGCCAATTCGCTACTTCGACATGTGTCTAGTTGTAACTGGGCTTGGGCCACTATGGGTTCCATGTTTGCTACTGGGCCTATTATGGGCTTGGCCCTCCTGGGTCTGGGCCATGCCTATCAGTAGTCCTTCATTCTCGAACACCGCTTTAGCCTAGCGAAAGGAATAAGAGAAGCGAAAATAGTCCTCTAAGTTGACCTGTAAAGTGAACGACTAGGAAAGGAGGCTGACCAAGAGTGGCTAACCTAAAAGGTAAATGACCAGGGGAAGCGACCGACCTAGAGTAGCCGAGCAGGGATGGCCGACCTGTAAGGCGAATGACTAGGGAAGGCGGCCGACCAAGAGTAGCCGACCTAAAAAAGTGAACGACCAGGGGAAGTGGCCGACCTAGAGTGGTCGAGTTGGGATCTAAAAGGTAAACAAGAAGGAGAGGTGGCCGACCTAGAGTAGCCGAGCAAGGATAGCCGACTTGAAAAGTGAATGACCAAGGAAAGTGGCCATCCTAGAGTGGTCGAGCAGAGATGGCCAACTTAAAAGGTGAATAACCAAGGGAAGTGGCCGACCTATAGTGGCCGAGTAAGGATGGCCGACCTGAATGGTGAACGACTAGGGAAGGCAGCCGACCAAGAATGACCGACCTAAAAGGTGAACGAACGACCAAAGGAGGTGGTCGAACTAAAGTGGCCGAGCAGGATGGCTGACTTGAAAGGTGAACAACCAAGAGAGATGGCCGACCAACCTAAAAAGTAAACGACTAGAGGAGGTGGCCGACCTAGAGTGGCTGAGCAGGGATGGCCGACCTAAAAGGTGAATGACTAGATTGTATTGATAGCACACGGAGCTCAAGGTACAAGGAGCGCACGTGATGATGTGATGTGAAACAGACGTGGAGGAAGAAAGAGAGTTAATGAGTTTGGGGAGATAATCACGGCCGTCCACATGGGACGACGTGGGTCGCTGAAACGGATTTTGAATCGTTTGGTGGAGGCGAAGGGTTTGGAGGAATTCGAAAGAGTTATGCTATTTACCCGTTAGGTTCCCTAATTCCCACCATACTTGGTAATTTTGTTTTCGCACTGGCAAACTTCAACAACGACCCTTGGAAAACAGGCAAACCTTAGGCATTCGGGATGGTGAGATTTTTATACCTAATTATAAAAAACCAACACATACCAGACTTCACCCTCTTTGTTGCCCCGGATTTCCCCATTTTCCACATCTGCAAGCTGTTAGCTCTTGCAATTGAAGCAATATACAGAAATGTAAAAAGAATGGCTGAAGAAAATCCTCGCCCAACGGTTGCGGATTCTCTAGAAAACAACGACGGGGTGGCATTGGCGGAACAGTATCAGGTGGAGAGGATGGTGAAACGGCAGGGAGGTAGACCACCACGTCCTATTCCGTCAACTATGATTTCGGCGACCGAGCCCATCACTCAAGTGGCACTAGACCACTAGTACACAAAAGCGGACAAATTGACACTAACAACGGAGGAGCTAGAAGAGATTCGAAGGAAGTATCAAGTCCCTAAGAACATTGAGCTGAGGTTGCCAACGGCGAAGAAGAGAGCCTCTGATACAAGGCCCATGGAGTTTGCCCTTTACGAGGAGGCTTTGCACGGGGGTTTGAGGCTTCCGCTCCTCCAGCTCGCCATCAACGTGCTAAACCAGCTGGAAGTGGCACTAGGCTAATTGGTGCCGAACGCTTGAAAGATTCTGTTCTCAAGCGCAAGCGCCTAGCCACGGGCAATCGAATGAGAGAAGATATTAGTAGAATTTGGCGCCAAATTGACGGAGTGCAAGAGGACAAATTTGGCCTTCCTTCTAACGTCAAATTTCGCGACGTCTGTTCTCTCGCACCCCGTCAATATATTGTCCGCTTTGGCCAGAGTCTCACGAATTTGTTCCTCCTCGAGAGAAAAGGCCTATTGACAAATGGAGGGGACCTGTGCACTTATAAGGTAGAAGTGGGAGTCCCTTCCTAATCCATCTAGGATTGACCTAACAAAGTTTATCTCGCCCAACGGTTGCGGATTCTCTAGAAAACAACGACGGGGTGGCGTTGGCGAAACAGTATCAGGTGGAGAGGATAGTGGAACGGCAGGGAGGTAGACCACCACGTCCCATTCCGTCAACTATGATTTCGGCGACCGAGCCCATCACTCAAGTACATATTGAGAAAAAATTAGATACGAATTTTTTTTAAGAATAATATTTTGCAATAATGTACAATAATTATATATAAATTTTTATTATATTTTATTTATCATTATTATATAAACTTAAAACACAAAATTCAGTTATAAAATCAGACAAAAATTTCTCACGCAAAACCGATACCACATTGATATGATGACACATAATGCCCCACTATCTCTATATCCATCCATCTTATCTGCTACTAGAGTAGAGTGCCAAGTATCAGTGAGTGTTCCACGTCAGCACTATAATCTGCCACGTCATCCAAATAAGCCTATCAGACTCCTGCATCAGATTGCACCTCGTCCATGACAACCAATCAAATCCCAGGCATAATAATCCTACGTGGCACGTCTACATCCACCAGATCAGGCATTTAGTTTCCTCTCCACAAGAGCTCTGTTATTAGTGTACATTATTTTCATCACTTTCATTCATTCACATTTTTAATTTTCAAAAACAAAGGTAGAGCAAAGCTGAGCAATGGCTTCACTGGCAGCATCAACGGCGGCTGCCTCCCTTGGCATGTCAGAAATGCTCGGAAACCCTCTCCGGAGTGGCGTAACGAGATCGGCACCTCCTCCCACCGCGACATCTAGCCCTGCCACCTTCAAGACCGTCGCACTTTTCTCCAAGAAGAAGGCTGCACCTCCCAAAAAGGCTGTCGTCTCCCCTGTTGATGACGAGCTCGCCAAGTGGTACGGTACGTATAGGACGGACCCATGATTTTAATATAGAGGGGACGAAACATATATATATATATATATATTTTAGGTTGAGTTGCAAAAGATAATAATCGGAAGACCATCTATTTATTAAAGTAAAATATGGTAAGTTGAACTTAATGTTTTTTGACATTAAAAACATCTTGTATAGAATTGATATTCCGTACAATATCTTTCTTAATAAATATGATAACTAAATTCGTGAACTTTCATTTGTTTTTTCTCTAGTCATGACTTATAATCGATTAGCTATAAAAAATTAATTTTTTTGGGATTGTATTTTGTTTAATTTTTTATTTTTTATTTTTTACAGTTTGACCTCATGCTTCATAGATATAAAGGAGCAACCATTTAAATTAAAAGAAAAAAAGGGACGATCACTTATATGAGATTTTATTATTATTGAATAAAGGATGATGATGATGATGGATATTGACTAAAAATGATGATGAAAACATTATTGAGCAGGTCCCGACAGAAGAATTTTCTTGCCGGAGGGGCTGTTGGACCGATCAGAAATTCCGGCATACCTCACCGGAGAAGTCCCTGGAGAGTAAGACATATCTATCTTCACCCCCCCTTCTTTGCTTGAGTTTTCTTCATACCTATTATTTATATAATTTATATAAGTAGTAAACTAATTTTGGTTTACTTTTGACAGTTATGGTTACGATCCTTTTGGGCTTAGCAAGAAACCAGATGACTTTGCCAAGTAATTGCTCAACTCTCTCTCTCTCTCTCTAATTATATATTGTAAAAATGAATTTCAAATAAAGGATTTGTAGTAATGTGGATTGTTAATTCAGTATATACATATTTGTGTGTGTGTGTTTTATTTTCTACTTAAAAATTAAATAAACAAAAATGGATGGCAGGTACCAAGCATATGAGCTAATTCATGGCAGGTGGGCAATGTTGGGGGCTGCGGGCTTCATCATCCCTGAGGCCTTCAACAAATTTGGTGCTAACTGTGGCCCTGAAGCTGTTTGGTTCAAGGTTCAATTATATATATTTTTTCAATTATATATATGAATTTGAAGATCTCTACATGTACATATTATTACATATGCTATTGCAATTGCTGTTGCTATTACAGACAGGAGCTCTACTCCTAGATGGTAACACACTGAATTACTTTGGAAAGAACATCCCCATTAATCTTATATTCGCTGTCATCGCTGAAGTTGTTCTTGTTGGTGGTGCTGAATACTACAGAATCATCAATGGATTGGTATGTAATTACTTACCTAATTGCATTGCTTAAGAGATAGTTCTCTTACATTGTATCGCTTTTCTTAATGAATTGTACAGAATTTGGAGGACAAGCTTCACCCAGGCGGTCCATTTGATCCATTGGGGCTTGCAAAGGATCCAGACCAGGCTGCAATACTGAAGGTGAAGGAGATCAAGAACGGTAGACTTGCAATGTTTGCAATGCTCGGTTTCTTCATCCAAGCTTATGTAACGGGAGAAGGTCCAGTTGAAAACCTCGCCAAACATCTAAGCGATCCGTTTGCAAACAACTTGCTCACTGTGCTTGCTGGATCTGCTGAAAGAGCTCCTACCCTGTGAATCAATGCTTGTGCCTTTGATCTGAGTACTTTTGAATGAACATTATTGTAACTACCAAGTACTTGATTAGACAGACATGTTTCTGAATTGTGATTTAGTTGATCACCTTTGCAATATTGGAGTACTCTTGCACTTCTCAATATTTCTCTCAATTTTGAGGCACTTGACCTTCATCTATTCATATATAATCTTAAAAGCTAACTTTCTAAGTTCACTTTTTTAGTATAGTCGCGTCATTCATAGACTTGCTTACTAGTAAAGTTGCGTCTAACAACTAGTAGAAGGAAAAGGTGATTACTAAAAACGCTTTCAACTTGAGCCAAAAAGCATCAACTTGAGCAAAACAGCATGAATTGCCGGCATGCTTTTATCTCCCATAACTTTTAACACTCTGATCATCAAACCCACCTATCTCGAATTCAATTATGTCTAATTAATTTTTGATTAATTAAAAACGTGTTTTGAAAGCACACTAATAATCATTTTTTTTTATTTTTCCAGATGTTTCACTTATTTGATTTTGCCCTATCAATAAGAAAGCATGTTTCTAAAATTTACCGGGATTTTGAGAAATAAGGCCAACCGCACCCTATTTGTTTAATTTTTTACTCAAAACAAACACAAAAACAAAACACACACACACAACAGTTAAAAGACCACTCAATCGCCCCTTTCTGCCTCAACTGAAAATATCATTTTATATAAATTAAAAATGGAACAACCAATTCTTTCTTTCTCTCGGGTTACTTTACTTTCTTATGGTGAATTGAATTTGACCTACATGCTATATGCTGTTATACAAAGGGAAAATTACACCAAATTATGAATGTGATCTTTACAATTCAATGGAGAAACCACAACATTTTACACGTGGGCAACAATGACCAGCAGTAAAAATAATATTACATGCTCATTGCTCTAGAAGTGACCTCTGAATCACCCTCCTGCAACTCCCCATCAGCTGCCTCACCAGTTTGCTGCAAGTATACAAGGAAAAGTCAGATAGATTCCAAACAAAGAACTAACATTTTTTCAAAAATATATATACATATTTTCTGCTGCTAATAGCCCCCATCCTTCAGCTGGCAACCCCCCTCCCCCACCACCATCTCCGACAACTCTCCCCAATCACCCTTAGCCCCCACATTCACCTCCGGTCACCTCTGCAACCCCCATACCACCCTCCCCAGATGCCTCCAGCGAACCCCTCCCCCAACCCTCACACTCGCAACACCAAACCCCTGCAGCCCCCCTTCCCCATTGGGTGTGTGACAGCAATGGCAGCTGTGTGGCAAGGATAGGTTGAGAAGGGGCAGGCAAGGGTGGAGGAGGGACTGGGAGGATCGCCAAAGCTAGGGGATGGGTGGGGAGGATGCTGGCCAGAGCTAGTGGTGGTTGGGGTGGGTGTAGGGTTAGGGTTTGGTGGGTTAAGGATGGGGATAAAATTAAAAATTTTATGTTAGGGTAAAATTGTAATTAAACAAATGAAGGAGATGAGGGTCCAAAGAAGAAAAGAGGGGGCTATTCACAGCATTCCTTTTCTTCTTTTAATTTCAAAGGTAAAACAACATTGTGCTAATTCGATTCCATACCACTTGATCTTTCAACTTGGCATCAGCCAGGTAACGCTCAAGCGCTCCCTCTCCACGAAGAATTTTGCCCCCACATCCTATGGAATTTACTGAACCTACTGACTCCTCATCAATGACAACAGCATCTACTCTGTTATTTCCCGTCTTCACATCTGGAATCTGAAAAATACAAGTAATGCCACCTCCATAAGCAAATATCATGAGTTTTAAAACAATCAGCTGCATGCCGAAATTGCACATTTTTTAATCACAATTACGCACTGCGCCGCCTCACATACCTCGTACATAGCCTCAGTTAGAATGCTTTCCAGTATGGCTCTCAAACCCCTTGCACCAGTATTCTTAGCCATCGATTTCTTTGCGATCATTCTCAGAGCTTTTTCTGTAAAATGTAGCTTCACCTGAAGATGACATAGGTTTGTATGTTAAGAATATATTTGAGTTGAACAATTATTGGGGAGAGAGAGAGAGAGATAGAGAGAGAGAGAGAAATGCATAGATCAAATGCTTACATTGTTCATGCCTAACAATTTCCTGTACTGCTTGCCAAGAGCATTTTTTGGTTCTGTGAGGACCTGTCATGAAAGCAAAAGGCCAAGATATCTATTAAGAGCCACTGAGGATGGTGAAGAGACTGAAATTCTATCAAATCAAGGGCAGGTAAAAGTTAGAGTAAGAAAAAAAAAGGAATGAATTGTTGCATACGTCATGTTCCAAGCAGAATCCATAAATTATCTATATTATGGGAAAATCATTTGACTGATGTACAAGCCCCATTACCATAGAAAGGAAGTATATCTACTCGTAATATTTTTTTTATCAGTATATATAATGATAAATGATTACTTCATAAATTAGCTTTTATTTGTACACTTTTTTATTTTTATTTTTTTAACACAAGGCCCACAACAATGAAACTATTCTTAATAATCTAAAAATATCCTCATAATGTAGCAAACAATTTGAGACCACCAGTTCCTTATTTACTTACATAGCCTAAACACTCAGACTAATGACTAAGTTACCACATAAAATAAATCTGAACACATGTACTTGTTTGTTTTCCAATACAAATTCCTCTTTAAATTTTTCTTTCAACCAAATAAAAGTTCCAACTTCCAAGGACACAGTCAACAGAATGTATTAGATTACAAACAGATCAATTCACCTGAACAAGTTGGTCCTCGGTTAAAGCTGACAAACTAACCAAAATAGGAAAACGTCCAATAAACTCTGGTATAAGCCCATATGCAATAAGATCACTACTTTCTACCTGAAAATACAATAATCAGATTCTTTCAGGCATGTCATAGAAAATATTATGTTGGAAATTTGTAGTCCAGAGAAAGAAAAAAAATAGCACCAGGAACAGATATATTTCAGAATTCCAAATGATTTGGATGAGGAGGTGTCGATTCTCACAGATTCTAGTAAGGATGATGTCAATACAGCATTAGTTAATCTACCAGTTCTCATATTAGCACGAACGGGTGCTCCAAACCCAATAGAAGAATCCTGCCGTCTGGCAAACAACCACATAAAATCTCATTGCTTAAACCTATCTCAAAACTCCACATATAGCCAATAATTAGAAGAAAGAGTTAACCTCTCTGAAATGGTTTTCTCCAAATCAATAAATGCTCCACCACAGATAAACAGGATATCTTTCGTATCGATCTGCAGAATATTGGAACATAAGTAAAAGATTAGACTCTGCGAATAATGCCAGAGGTTTGGTCTGTCCCCTATCTATCCTTCCCAGAGCCCCATTCAATGGGAACCTTATTATAAGTAGAAGATTAGATGGGCAAAGTAACAGCTCATATTAAATAATGCAAATATATAAGACGATGCAAATGCTATAGTACCACTATCAACCATTGTAGCCACTATATCACCACCTTCACTACCTATCTCTCCCTTTCTCTACTTTCTCTTAGTACCACCAAAACCCCAGGACACTAATCACCAAATTTCATGATCCAACTCCACACACACACACAAAAAAAGAAACTCTTAAAGCTAAGCTAGTTCAACTGAAAAAACTGCCAGTCGCAACCTAGATCATTAACCCACAATGCAATCTCTACCTACAAGATCTCAGCATAGGCTCTCTACAGACCTAGTCTTAGTCTTTGTCTATGTTCACGAAAAGCACATTGCCGCAGACATGACAATACATGCACACACTTGACAATATGAGCTTTTGATGTTGCAATAAGAAAGATCTTAATTAAATTTGTTATGTCAAACCATATAGTTTGAGGGCAATAAAAATGATCACATCCACATAAAATAAAATAATAATAAAAAACACGATCATTGTCATTAAAAATTGACTTGTTGACCGCCAACTCATCTAAAGATTAAGCTGTTAGAGATAGGGACAACTTTATTATTTATATTATATTCTCAACATTAATTACATGCAGCAATAGTTGTACATCATAAGCATACAACTACATCTGAGACGCATAAAGAAAAAAGGATGACAAGGACATATTTAGGTTTATGATATACCTGAATGCTATCACCCCGAGGATGCTTCCTTGCCCCCTTTTCAGGAACATTCACAATCTGGACCAAAAATGCATTTGAAACAGATGAATGAAATAACCCACGTGAATATATAACTAATTCAACAAACCAATGGCTATAGTTTCATGATATCAATAAGGATTAATTGAACAGTAGAAATTACAGAAGTAACATATCACGCTGATGCACTTTTTCCCTGTTACTAGATGTTTTGAAGAATATAATGTGAAACATGTTATTTTAAGCAGCATCATGGTTGACCCAATTTTTTGTGCCAGGAAGAATTTTCCAGTCAAATAAATACTAAGATAATCACGCAAACATACAAATAATTCAAGAAGCCAGGGCTAAGCTTTGACATATCAACAAAAAAAAGAGAGGAAAATATCATGCCATTGCACTAATTAAGTATACGTTTTATTTTATATTGTCATAAATCACCCAATATGGTGGTAATGGTGTAGTGGGTTAGGTTTAGTGGAGTAGGTGAGGTGGTAATGGTGTAGTGGGTTAGGTTTAGTGGAGTAGGTGAGGTGGTAATGGTGTAGTGGGTTAGGTTTAGTGGAGTAGGTGAGGTGGTAGTGGTGGTAGGTGATGATAAATTCTAACATATTTTATAGTCATAAATCACCCAATATTTGATCCAAAAAAGGTTTCAAATAAATACTGAATCCTAAGTTCATTCGGAAGTAAAAACTTCATTCTTGACCGCATTTTCAAGTCAAGCACTATGCAAAAGCACATTGTAAGAAAGCATTGTCAACAAGTTCATGTCAAAAATTGCTATTTATACTTTTCTTTTGTTTCCATCCGTCTGTACTGTACCTAAGTCAAAAAATCAACATTCAATTTTTAGTTTTTAGTTTTATCAAACAGCACCTAAAGCACTCACAGTTCCTTCCAGCATTTTCAGTAATGCCTGCTGGACACCCTCTCCAGAAACATCTCTGCTTATGTTTAAGCTCTCAGCCTGCAGAAATACCCAACAGAAAGAAAGTTTTGGGACTGGAAAAACATACAGATTAAATAGAAAATAAAATATAAGCTGTAAAAAAGGAAGAACCTTTTTGGTTATCTTATCAACTTCATCAATATAAACCATCCCTTGTTGAGCTGCTTGTACATTAAACTCAGCAACCTTCATGCCAAATTTGAGAGCAGAATTATATTCTAATGATTCATGAAAATTCTCGCAAGTGAGAAAACTGAAAAGGCAGCATGAGATTCTAAATATAATAATGTAAAAAGTAAACATAAATTATTATTTATTTTTTAAAATGGAAGGAACAAATGGATATATTCCAAAACTGGTAAGGTGAGAGAAAAGTGCATATCTTATACAAACACAGTATGACACAACACACAAGACCAAACAAACAAAACAACAAAACTAACAATAGTGTCTCTAATTATAAAAAACAAATAAAAATAACATGATCTTTTATCGGGAAAAAAAAAATAGGGAATTATATTTTCAAGCGTATCTATATGCATAGATTACAATAGAACCACAAAAATAATAAAAGATGAAATGAAGAAAAAAAATGATATAATAAGAGCAACAAAGTCAAAAAAGTAAAAAGAAAGAACAGAAAGTAAACGAAAAATAGGGGGAAAAACGCTACAACTCTATGCATACACAATCCACCAAGAATAAGAGCAGCAAAGTTGGGAAAAAAAAAAAGAAACATTTTGCAGACATTTAGGAACATAACATTTGCACACCATTCCCAACATTCAAAGAATAAATAACAAATTTGACTCTCTGTTCATCATAATACAAATGGAAAACATCAACCATACCATAAGCAGTTTATATAATATGGACTCCACATCTTCTCCAACATAACCAGCCTGCAAAAGAGCAGAATTTTCCTCTTTAACTATGAGTGGAAGCGATATAAGAAAGGTACAAACTCGAAGACAGGAGCTATGGCAAATCAAGTATGAAGTTATTAAAAAAAGAAAAGAAAAGAGAGACAGATTTTACTAAGCACAGTAGTACATGAATGCTATCTATTCTTGTAATTGTAATGCCCTTCCAGATTTTATCTAGATATGCTCATTGGTTATTGGAGTTTTCTTAGGAACCAAACTTGAAATGGAATTTAATTCAGTAAGCTTTACCATTACCGACTAGAACATAGTCACTAAGCTCACCAAAATATTTTTGTGAAAAATTAGCTAAACCTATAGACACCCCATTTGACCGGCTATAAGTCTTGGGCACTTTTCTTTGGGTTTCCTAATCCATTTATATTAGTTTCTATAGTTAATTAAGTTGCTTTATGCCAAAGGTTATGAGGTTATGAGGTCAAGTCTTGAGGCCACCACTTTGTACATTATGCCAAAAGTTAGGTATGCACTCAATCTTTCCTCTTCCAAAACACATATTAATGTATACTAATTGGACGTTGTTTTTCAGTTAATTATGTTGCTTTACTTGCCTTATTTCTTTATTCACTCACTTTCTTTATATTATGATTTATTTGTTGGTCATTTTAAGTTTAAAATAAGAGCCAATGGGTGATAAGTAGAGGACAACCTTTTGGTTGGTAAGATGGGTGCCTAACCCATTACCACCTAGGTTCTCCAGTGACAAAGGGACTGCGCCTTGAATGGAGTCACTTTTGAGGATGTGGTTTGTTGGAACCTAAAACTAAATGGCGACTCTATTGAGATACGACCCTAGTTTGCATTCATCTAACCACGTGGGATATCGAATTTAGCCATTTGGATTCCTAGAAGTGGGGCTCAGAAATTAAAGGAATTCATTGGCCCGTGGGCTCATTTTGGATGCATGGTGTGGACAAGTGGTTGAGTGGGCCTTCATAGGCTCAAGGGGTTTGGCAAGTGCAAGCCTTACCAAGAGTCACATTCTCTTCACCACTACTGGAAATTTGGCCTACTCAGAATATCAACAACGACCATACAATTCAATATACAAACATGGAATGCTAACAACTAAATCAATAATGATTTTGTGCAGTTTTACTTTTTATAACAAAGGGTGTTAAAAAAGTCAGCAATCAACTTGCCTGGGTTAAAGTTGTTGCATCAGCAATAACAAAGGGCACATTCACAAAACGAGCAAGGGATTTTGCAAGTAATGTCTTCCCTGGTTCACAATAACTGTGTCAGTGGAGCAATCTAAATTGGGCAGCTTGTTTGATGTTAACAACTTGTCTGAAGTAATAAAGTTATCCTTAAATTTTCCTAGACACCACTGATTTTCAATGCAACACACGAGGAAAATTCAGAAACGACAACAAAGGAACCATACCTGAACCAGTTGGACCCATCAACAGTACATTACTCTTTTCCAACTCCACATTATCGTCATCATCTTCTGTCCCAGATATTCCTGACTCTGCTCCTGACCTAATATTCAAACACACTTAGCGCTACCAAATAAAGTAGAAAAAGGTTACTAATAATAGGATGGCTGGAAATAAACAAAATTGTCCACTATCAGCATAAATCTCAGTAGTGGGGCCAGATATGATTAGACAGGAAGACAATTAAGAACTAACCCTTTCCGCAAGGAGGCATTATATATCCTTTTGTAGTGGTTATAAACAGCTACTGAAAGTACCTGCAACATTAAAAACAATCCAGATGAGAAACATGTAGCCAAAAACTATTTAATCTAAAGGAAAAATTGGATATACCAAATAAATGAAAACTACTTAATTTTATAAATCTTAAAATGCTCTCACAAACATTGACAAAAATTATATTCTAGAAGAATAAATAGACACTTAACTAGGATACTGGAAAGGCTATTAGAAAGGTTCAGAAAAAAATGATCACCTAAGAAGTTCGGATATGAACTCACAGACACAAATGCAACACAACATGGACACGTTAACAAATGGCAATTTCCAACAAACAAGGACAACGTCACAACAATAAATATATTTATTGATGTGTGTGTGTGTGCGCGCACGCGTGTGCATGTATGTCTATAATTTTATTTTATTTTTTAAAGAATCAAAATAAAAAAAAAATTAACCCATTTTTTATAACTAAGCAAATATTAGATTAAGGAAGGAGCCAAGGGAGCACTAAAAATTAGAAAAGCAAAACAACAACAATAAAAAATACATTTTTAACAACATCTACATGTCTATATATTACATAAAAATAGTATGAAATGATTTGTTTTCTACAATTACATGTTCGAAAATAAGTGAAAAGAAATCCTAGCGCATCTTTCTCTTTGATTAATAAAATATTTTCTGCATCTTTTGGTATCTTTCTTTTTGATAAGTTATGGATTTTGGCATTGCTGATCGGATTCCATTGATTTCTTGTAGATGAGACTTCTAGATAGCCTTAGAGAGGTTCCAAGGTTATATGCTCTTCTTCGTATTTTTCTTCATTTCATATCTTTGTTTTAATTCCCTGCACTACTATGCATAATTATCAACCAGAACCAGCCCTAGATCACCCTAGCTGCAACCAAGAAATCCTAGTGCATCTTTCTCTTTGATTAATAAAATATTTTCTGCATCTTTTGGAATCTTTCTTTTTGATAAGTTATGGATTTTGGCATTGCTGATCGGATTCCATTGATTTCTTGTAGATGAGACTTCTAGATAGCCTTAGAGAGGTTCCAAGGTTATAGACGACATCAAAAACTGCGTTGCCTAACATCAATTCTGTCAGCCACATTACCGTCTAACCTCCGATCATAAACATTTACTCTGACCAACCCACTAGCATTGGGTGCGAAAAGGGAGAATATTTTATCAATATTTTATCAACCTTGATACTTTTTTGTTTGTATCTTAACCTCAATTGAGAAAATAAATTAGGCAACGCAAGTTCAATACAACTGAAATCACTTGCCGAAACACCTTCGACAACCCCAGTTTTTATATCGTCCACCTCCATTAACCTGAACATTAAAAATAAAAATACATCAAATTACAATTCTAAACAGTTTTAAAGTACATTTGACTCCTTAAAATAATTTTGCATTCCTTTCCACTAAAAGTAGCAGCCACTAAATATATGGCACCCTTTTGAATGCTTCCAACATTTCCCAACAGCGTATCTTTGTAGTCCGTCCAAACATCAACTGGAAAGAACCGGTCTACAACTTCTATCCCGTGACGAACGTACTCTTTGTCCTTACCACCAACGAGCTTGAATCTCATTTTCTTTAGCATCCGAAAACGGTCGGACTGGTCAGGATCAACAATCCAGGTCTCAGGATTACCCTCGCCAACTCCAATAAATATCTTGTCAGGTGTAGGGACGGAATCTAACGGACTATTATCACTGATGACAAAAAATAACACGTGGTGGACCACAGCTTCGTCCTTAGCATCCTGTCCCAATTGAACATTACCAATAAATTTGATCCCCTTAACCACGATCTTGTCTGATTGACGGTCAGATCTCTTATTACCCAACTCAATACCATTAAGTAATCTCACCACGCCTTTATTATCAAACTTAACGTCCCTTAATTATTCATCGTATAGCTGTAATTTCCTTACTCCCCTCTTAGTCTTCTTAATAAATCGGGGAATATTCTGAACGTATCGTCTGCGAACATACTGGGTCTTAAAAGATGCACGACTACGGTAACTACGCCTATATCCACTGGCTGCAGGTGTCCTTGACCTCCGGTACGCAAAGGGGGTCCGGTAATGGCTGCTTCCTATTCCTTTCATTTTTTATAAATAACTCCAAATATTTTATACGAACACTTCTACAGGATCTGTTACCTCTGCTAACCCTTCTGTTCAGACACCTTAGCTTTGATATTTTTGCCCTCTGCTCTTCGTACACCAGAACAAACTTCACCGGAGCTCTCCGCCGGCTCTCTTCCCACAGTCCTAGTTGCCACGTCAAAAAGCGATCTACACACATTTGAGTGAACTGCCCGTAATTCTCGGGATACTCTTCTAAGGAGTACAACATTGTATACCAAATAAATCGAAAAAAATGACAGAAAGAAAAAGAGGGACGAAACAAGGTACCAGAAAATCACCTCAGTGTAATAACTCTCCAACTGCAAAATCATATCTCTCTTATCTCTCTCCACCGACAAATATCTGAGGCTGGACCCAGATATATAGACAGCTGTAAATACGGAGATTCAAAATTTAAAATTTGAATTCCCGCCCATTACTGTTCATTCACGCGAAATTCTAAGCACCTTTGCTTTATATCCAAGCAAAACCACCACGATCGTGACACGTGGGTGGACAGGAGATGGTCACGTGTACTCACACCAAGCCCCGGCTACTCACACCAAATAGTGATTACTATTTGGTGTGAGTACGGATTTAATCTCCGCCTTACACGTCACCATCCGTGCGTCCATCAACGGATGAAATTGCCTAACGGGTACAATTTCAACAGGGGGGGCTAGTAATATTATATATAGCGCCCCCCCAGCTGGTGTGACCTCCCCCTATATAAAGTCTCGACAAACAACATTCACACCTGTGTAAGTTAAGGATTAATCACTAAATAAGCTAAATAATGCCTCGCCAAGCCTCTTTCCGATTTTATGCCAAGAATGTTTTTTTCACCTACCCACAATGCCCATGCCCAAAAGAACAACTCTTAGAACTCCTCCAATCTCTCCTCCAACTAGCCTGTCAGCAATACTACATACTTGTCGCAAAGGAGCTCCATGAAGATGGAAACCCTCACCTTCATGCCATGGTTCAATGCACGAAGAAGATCCAAACTTCCAACCCGAGATTTTTCGATCTCACTAGAACCAATGGGAGGATCTTCCATCCAAATATAGAAAAACTCCACTTGCCAACAGCAAGTCAACAGTATATACAGAAAGGGGGCGAGTTCGTCGAATGGGGAGAATTTTCATCTAAGGGGAGAAGTCCTTTGAAAAACAGAGACGAACTCTGGAGGGGAATACTTGGCGAAGCAGAAACGGAGGAATAATTATTTGCTCTCTGTAAAGAAAGATGTCCCACCGATTTCGTCACAAAATACCCTCAATTAAAAACATTTTCCAGGGATCATTACAAAAGAGAGAGGCCCCCATATACTAGCCCTTTTAATTCATTTCCTTTCTTAAATGAAGAAGTAAAAAAATGGGCAGAAAATAATATTTTGTTTGTAAGTCGAAATTGCGTTCAGTACGAGTTATGTCAAAATTGTTGTCTCTCCGTTTGGAGGGAAGACGATTTCCTTAGATTAGGGATACACAAAAATAATATAAACAATTTATATACTGACGAAGAACTCTCCTCCTCCTCTGATGACAGGAACTAGAGCAGAGGCCCATCCGCCCAATCTCCCTCTACCTCGAAGGACCCTCAAGAACAGGCAAAACTGCCTGGGCCAGAAGCCTCGGACGACACATTACTTCTCCGGCAGAATAAGCTTCAAGGACTACAACCAAAACGCCGTCTACAACGTCATAGACGATATCAAATACTCGACAGTCCCTACCGAATTAATGAAGAATTTAGTAGGCTGCCAGAGAAATTTCCATGTATTTGTTAAGTTCCAACCAGATCTCACTATTAGAGGAAGAATTTCTTATATTTTATTAACAAATGGGGACAGTAGTTGGTTAGATGCAATGTCCCTAAAAATGAGAGAATGGTTTGATGTTAATGTAACCACTGTCATGATTAATGAAAAATTTTATTAATTTTATTTATGAAACCACTCAAAATTTTATTTACTTACTACATTTCCCTTATCATCAACTATTACATCTTGAGTCACATCACTATTTTTTACACTGATGATTACATTTCGTAAAACATTAGAAAATTCTGCTGCATCCATAACAACTGATCCTCTACTATCAACTTCCTCTTTGCTAACACCAATCTCTGAAATCGACGGACCAGGATCAATATCACTAGTGTCATCACCACCTCTGCATACATCAATCTCTGACAAACTCAGACGACCTTTGCGTTCATGAATAACTGAACCACTTTCCCCAAAACCTCCTAACAACAAATCTCTTCGCCTCTCCGGTAAACCAACAGACTTAGTCTGTATCAGAATCGGAATGGCCTTCGTTGGAGGACAATGCCAGACATCAACATTATCATTAGTATATTTTTTAGATAACACAACAATAGAGAGGGCCCTCATTTGCGAATCTTCTGGCATGTCACTCGTAGAATACTTCAGATACCCCTTCATTTTACAATACGTAACCCCTCTTTTAATATTGGAATTTTCAAGTCGATACTTCACCATCCATGACACCTGTTTGTCGTTAATTGAACAATAACCATTCCCATAATAAACTAACACGCATTGACAATCTACTGGGAAAATAAATCATGCCTGCAAACTGTCATTACCGTCTAACCTCCGATCATAAACATTTACTCTGACCAACCCACTAGCATTGGGTGCGCAAAGGGGAGAATATTTTATCAATATTTTATCAACCTTAATTAACCACGATCTTGTCTGATTGACGGTCAGATCTCTTATTACCCAACTCAATACCATTAAGTAATCTCGCCATGCCTTTATTATCAAACTTAACGTCCCTTAATTATTCATCGTATAGTTGTAATTTCCTTACTCCCCTCTTAGTCTTCTTAATAAAACGGAGAATATTCTGAACGTATCGTCTGCAAACATACTGGGTCTTAAAAGGTGCACGACTACGGTAACTACGCCTATATCTACTGGCCACCGGTGTCCTTGACCTCCGGTACGCAAGGGGGGTCCGGTAATGGTTGCTTCCTATTCCTTCCATTTTTTATAAAAAAACTCCAAATCTTTTATACGAACACTTCTACAGGATCTGTTACCTCTGCTAACCCTTCTGCTATTCTTCGTATTTTTCTTCATTTCATATCTTTGTTTTAATTCCCTGTACTACTATGCATAATTATCAACCAGAACCAGCCCTACATCACCCTAGCTGCAACCTTTAAACCATAAGCCTTTCAACCTAAAACCCTACCCTTATTTACTTTTTGTAGATTTTAGTCCTTGAATTTCCTTGCTGTCCAAAACTTCCAGTACACATTAAACTTCAGTTCCATGACAAAATCCAGCCTAAACATTACCCAAATTCAAGCCTAGATCTTGTCTAAACATCAAATTTACCTTCTAAAACTTTAATATTAAAGCCCAATCCCACTGTATGTGGTCATAGGGAAGCCTTCAGTACGCTTTGTCGTACATCAAAGGTCCAACTAACATGTAACAGTTCATACATCTTTTTAATTTTATCTTTAGCCTCCATTTTTCTTCCTTCAAATTTGTGTCAATATCCTAGATGTGTGTCTAGATAATAGACATGCAGTTCTCATGTATGATCCAAGTGTGTCTGGTTTTATAAGAGACACAAAAAATTAATTGAACAAGTTTGGATGTGTGTCAAACACAATTCAGACATGGGCATGGCACCCAAGTAGATGCTCATAATGGGAAGACATTAAAAAACAAGAGGATTGAAGAATTCTGGATGTATTGTATGACCCATGATGCATCTTTCTTCAGTATGTGTGCCTGAGAAGATAAGTGTGATTGTGTAGACTTCACTCTTCTAATATTTTATCCTCTTTATTCTCACTGAACCATAAAGTTTTCACCTTTATATTCTCAGAAAGCAGGACGTCTTTTTTGCCTACACTAACAGAAGGGCAATAATATTGTCTGATAATCTATTTAGTACAACAAGTGGACAACTCAATCCTTCAAACACCTACAATATAAAAGAAGAATAAATTGTGATAATATTATATCCCTCAAGCGAGCTTCAACACTCATCAATTGGTTGGCCGACACAATTTCTTCTGTTATTACTAGGTGTAGCATAGGTTGGCAATTTCATGACCATGTGCAAAAGGACCTGAGCCACTATAATTGGAAGTACATGGGCAACCCTAGAGGTCTTGGAAAGCTACTGGATTCCTGGAAGCAATCAAGGAATAGCTTCACCACCAACATGAAGACGGCTCTAAACAAGGCCAAGACCAAGAAGACCATGACGAGGACTTAGCAATGTTTGTTGATCGGCTTGGTCAACTAAAATTGGAGGTTGGTCGACCAAGGCAGCTCAGGCTAACTTGTGACCAAACCTTATATAATGAAGTTTATTCTTTCTTGCAATAATGCTTAATGTGTTTGATTTATGTTATTTCAAAAACATGACAATGGTGTTACTTGTTCATGTAATTGAGAATTGAAATAATCTATGCTTAGTTTAGATGAGTCATGCTTGACTCGCTTGTAGACGCTTCATGCTTGACAAGGTAATACCTAATTCTCAACCATGTGAATCTTCTCGACAACACCGTTAGGACTTGTAGCTACAATGGGTCACTAATGTTTTAACTAACCAATTCCCTAAACTGATACAATAACCTTACTTGCAAAGCTAGGGTAGAGTCGATGCCCTAAGTCCTCAATTTGAAAAACAATTTATTTTTACTTCTCAATCCATCTCTCTTTTGTCGAATTAATTTAAAAATTAACTTTCAAATTAACACCTTTCAGTCCTGAGTTACAATACCCGTCTAAACCACTATTCTATTTCAGTTGAGGTCTACGAAATTAATTTTGATCAAAAACAACCAATCATCAAGTATGACAAGGTTTTAATAATTGGGACAACCCTTGTATTGGTTGTGTGAGATGATGCAGGCAACAACATAACATCTCCTTCGTCTTAACACTGAATGGCATGTCTTCAACCGATTTCCCATCCCCTCTTGCTATGTATCATTCATTTTAATCAAAACTGGTCCTTTGTTTCTTGTCTTGTATATAAAAAGAAAGAAAGTATTGTTTACTCAATGTAAGAATGACACTAGCAATAGACTTGAATTTTAAGTGAAAGCATAGTGAATCAAATGATTGACAATAGCAAAACTCTGATCAAGTCGATACCTTTTTAGAGCGTTCCTGGCCAATGACGAATTCATCGAGTCCCTTGCAGATCTCCTTTGGCGTCGGCAAATCCTTCCCCAAATTCGACCCGCCCCAACCATTCTTCTCTGAACCACTATCACCACCACCATTACCATTACCACCACCACCGCTACCATTTCCACCTCTCTTCGGACCTGCAGCACGAATGAGATTAACTCCAGGCGCAAAAGGCGGACCAGGCGGCGTATGCACCGCCAGCCCATTCCCTGCCGGCGGAGGCGGCCAATTCTCCGGCGGCTCACCACCGTACGACTTCACAGTCTCCCAAAAAGACACTCTGAGCCAATCTTCAGTACTCCCGGTCTTCTTCTCAGGCAAGTCCTTCCCTTTAACCCTCCCAATCTCGATAAAGCTACCCTGAAGTGGGGCAATCTTGTACGGCCGAAAGTAGTAAGCGGTTTTACAACTAGGGCATAGATTCACCGCTTGATACGCCCCTCCTCCACCACCACCATTATCATTTCTATCAGAGTCAGGCGGCGCACCACCACCGCCGCCGCCGGCGGGAATGGGGGATAGAGGGAGGTGGCGATTGGAGAAGAGAAGATCCATGTGTTTGGAGCAGCGAGGGCAGTTGGCCTCGGCCCTAATTCTGCGAGTTTCGTCGCCGCCTCCGCCGCCGTGGTCCCATTTGTACCTCCGCGCCTGAACTCCTCCGATCAAAGACTCCAACATCTTCGTCCTCGTCCTCGTCCTCGTCGGCTGAATCTGATACGAACCCATGTGAAGAAGACAATTCGAGGATCGATTCGGTATCTGAGACAACCGGTGATGATGATGATGATTCAAAGTTGATGCTGAAGATACCCAAGATGTTGACGATGTGACTGTCATTTCTCTGAGCTTGGTCTTCCATCTCCATATTCCGAACCCGGACATCCTCCGATAAATCAATTTACTAACATTCACATACACACCAGAAAATTTACACACAGTTCTAGACACCACAAGAAAGAAAAGTTTTTTTTTTTCGGTTTTGTTTTGTTTTTGTTTAGGTAGAGAGTGAAAGAAAGATGATGCGAGATTGGGATTTGTGCCAACAATTTATAAATCTATATATATATATTGTTTAATTATTGAAAATGAAAATGAAAATGAAAATGAAACCCCCGAATCCAGGAAAGAAACGATGGATGAGAGAAATTGAGCAGAGAAGATAAAGTTGGGAGTGTTTGTAGGAATGGGAAGGTAATGCTTTTGATTTTGAGTCCGATATAGAAGTCACTTGTTTTTGGTGCAAACAAAAATATACTTATATCAAAAATAATAATCACAATTTTAAAATTAATGGACAAGTAATTATGGCTATGGAGATGTTGGTTACTGTAATTTTTACGTACTTTCTTTAATTTTGGTTTTAATTTTAAAATTAATATACTAGTGATTGCATTAATTGTTTGGTTTTAATTTTTTGAATTTAATTTTTTTTTAAATTATGTTTTTTTTTCATATTTTTAAAATTTTAAGTAAATTTTTTACTTTTTTAGATGTACCTTACTTAGATGTATTTAAATAGTAAAATATTTGTAAAAAATATTTTAACAAATTAATAAATACACAAAAATATGAAAAATATACTGAATTTTTATTTTTATTTTTTTATTTTTTGGTATTTAGTATATTTTTTAAAGATTTTTTTCACAAATATTATACTTTTTAAGTGTATTTATGTTAGGTGTGTCTAAAATTTTAAAAAAAAAAATTGTTTAAAATATTAAAAAAATCATTGAAAACATTAAAATATAAAAAATAAAAAATTGAATTTTCTGAAAACTGTTTTCTAAAAATCAGAACTAAACAAATGGTTATTGTAAAAATTTGAGACCACTAGTTTGTTTATGATGAAAATGGTGGTGATGATGATAATAGTAGAAAGTAAAAAATAAATTAATTAATTAAATTAAATTAAAAAATTAAGTTCATTTGGTTTGAAAGTGGTGGAAGTTACAAGAAAGTTAATTTTCTAAAAGGCTCCGGCGGTGGTTCTTCCACCCGGGGGCACTCCGACGATCAAGTCAGTATATCTCTCAAAGATAATCAAGTGCTAAACTTAATACTCAAAACATAAATTGCATACCTTAGACCCACGGGGGTGCCTCTCTTTTATAATATATTCAATCCAAGTCCTACTAGAAGTATGACTTCTATGAACTCCAATTCAGTGCTTACTTTGGACTCCTTAAGAGATAAAGATAAACTCTCTAAGAGCTTTATCCTTGTCTTGGTTAAGTCCCCTCTTCGTCTTAGGACTCTTGTCCCTTATTCGCTTATCTCGGTTTGCGATATCTTCGGAGATAACCTCGGCAACTCCGAGATCATCTCGGCCTAACTACCATGACACGTGGTACCTCGGCTGACACGTCGGCGTCACCATGCCACGTGTTGATTTTCAGAAAATATATTCCCACATGTGGCCACCAATCATTGCCCAAAGAAAATTCATAAAATCTACAAAACATTTTTGAGATATTCTTAGGTTGTATTTGGATTATGAATTTTGGTAAGGATTTAAAAAGAAAAAGGAAAAAGCTAGGTAAAATATAATTCATTCACATTTAACTTTTTTTTTATCTTTTCAAATTTCTATCAAAATTTATGATCCAAAAACAATCGTAATGTAATTTCATTCTTGTATGTCACAATACAAGCTTTTATCTAATCCACCATGCTCTTGGATTGATTTTGGGAACCTTGATTGATTCTTATAGCGGGGGGAAGTGTAATCTAAGCTTGCATGTGTTTAGGTGTGTGAATTTCAGGTAACATGTGCATTCATAAATTTTTTATTATTATTTATGTTTAGAGACCTTATCAGTACGAATTTTTAAAAATAATTAAACATGTTGAAATTTATGAAAAAAATTATATAATACTCCCCTATGAGTTTATTGTCTTGAGTAAAATATTAATAGAAAAGTGCTTATAAGTGAATTTTATAAAAAACTTGGACTAGGTTATACTTTGCTTGACTATTAAAGCATAATTTTAAAATTATAAACGTGTTGTTCTTGAATTTTCACAACTAGTTACACATATTGGAATTTTATGAGTTATCCTCTATAAGGAATCTGCAATCTTGTGTAAAATTTTAAGAGTAAAAGTTGTATAAATGAATTTTATAAAATTATTGAACCGATTTGTACTTTGATTGTTGAGCTAAGCCTTATGTTTTTTAAACTCTTTGTTTTCGATTTTATTAATCTCCGAAGCTCATAAAATGATGAAAGTTTTTTGCATGCTATTTGTTTATATATAATTATAATTTATATGATAAAATATCATAATCTCATATTTAGGGTAATAATTTATAGTATTTTGTAGACTTGGTCGAGTTGCATTTGTGAGGACGTATGTCAAGTTGGGGCATGTAAAAATCATATTTTTACGGCCTATTTTGAGAAGTGAGTTATAATCCACTTATCATATTATAACTCACTTCCTCTCTCACAAAAAAACTGCTTATAAACAATTTTTCACCAAAAAATTGATTATAACCATCTTCCCAAAATAGTATCTTATGTTTCTGGTGTGTGAAGTATGTAAAAATATTTTGCGTAAGACTTGAGTGTACATTGTGCAATTAATGTGAGTAATTTTATACCTTTTGCACTAAGTTTTCAAATTCAATAATTTATTACAAATTACGCCTAGCAATATTTAGTTTTAATCAAAAAAATCACTATAAGTTATTATATCATTCTCTCTATTTTTATGTATATCTTTTTATAAAAAGTTTAAAAATTACTAAAATAATCTATTTCTAAATAAGGTCATACTTTTATTAAACAATGTATTCGAAATGCTTTGAATATATTTTTCTAGGAAAATGTCTCGTAGCTCAAATTTTGTGGCTCAAAAGTGGCTCAAATGGCCAAAACGACGTCATTTTGGTCATTTTTATGTTGTTCTGTACTCAAAACGACGTCGTTTTGGCCATTTGAGCCACATTTGAGCCACAAAATTTGAGCTACGTAGCATTGTTGATTTTTCTATATGAAAAAAGCAACTCCGCTATGTAGCTCGAAAAGTCGTGGCTCAACTTTGACTTTTCAACTCACTCTTCTCCAAACAAACATCCCCTCTGTTTCTTCTTCTTCTGTATTTTCTGCTCTACCATTTAAAGAACAATAAAAAGAGAAGTGAGAGGAGAGGAGACTGGCTAGAGAACTTGTTGTCTAGGTCCCACAGAACCACTACTTTCTTGAATCCAAATTTTGTTCATGCGATACAAGATTGAGATATTCTCTCTCTCTCCTCAAATGAAAGTAGAGACACCACTGGAAGTGATTTTCAAATATGTGGGGCAACCATTGAAGATTTGAAGATTTGTTAACAGAGAGATAAAGCAATCAATTTTCATCACCTCTAACCTCAAAACTCACCACCAAACCCACTTCTTCTTCTCCTTCTTCCTTTCTCTCTCTAAAAACTACCAAATCATACTCACTACAAAATAAATCCAGATTCAAAGTCAAAAAGAAAATTGATAAACTAGATCTAGATCAAGATATAAACTAGATCTAAATTCTCCAATTAAGACAAGATTGTAAAACCCAAAAGCTTTTGCCTTTCTTTCCTCTCCAAAACAAATCAGAGTGTAGAAAAAAAAAGAAAAACAGAGTGTAAAAAAAAGGCAAAGCCTTGAATTCAATCAAAACAAATCAAAATCAAAACACAAAATCAAATTCAAAACAAAATCAAAACCAAGCTTGCAAAATAAAAATCAAAACAAAATCAAACCCATAGAATCAAAATCAAAAATCAAAAATCAAAACCAAAATCAACCCACTGAATCAAAAAAATCATCCGCCCATGGCTGTGGGTTGGGTTCGAGTGGTTCGCGATCTCCGTCCATAGCAGTGGGTTGGGTTGTGGTGATCTCCGTCCATGGTCCCCTCTCTTTGTTTTCTTTTCCTCTCTTCCTCCTCTCTTTCTCTTACTTCTCGCTTTCTCTGAAATCAGTCTAAGGCGAAAAAAAATAATGAAAAAAAAAAGTGTCAAAACGACGTCGTTTTGGCACTCGGGCATTCGAACCTGCCTACTTTCGAGCTATCAAGCAATTTTCATGAAAAAAATCCATGATAAACTTTTGACAACTCAACTTACTGTTGTAACTGTCATCAATTGATACTTACCAAAAGCAGACATCACTCACGTTATCATGTACTATGTGTAAGCCACCTATTTGTGATGTCCATGTTACAATATAACTCGATAGAAAATAGAAAACCATGTTACATGCTTACCCGAATTTTGTTGTAAATGATATATGTGTTTTGAAAACTTGTTTATTCATGATATTTATGTACATATCCTTTATGTTGGAACAATCTTCTGTGTAAATAAAATAAATTAAAATAAATCAAACAAAATAAATAAATAACGTACCGAATTTATTTTTCGAACCGAATTAAAAATAAAAGACCAAGTCGAATGTGTGACACTCTGTCCATAAGACAGATTCGCCCCGCTACGGTATTTACGGTTAAGTGGCGTCTATCTCCCAAGATACAATGATCTTAACCAATTTGTAGTAGCACTTCAAAACAAATTGTTCGGCGAATCAAACTTGTGTTCTAGCTCTCTGAATATTTATTCTAAAACTAGAATAAAGGAAAATGCACTTAATAAAAGTTAGACAGCAATATAAAGAATGCAAACTGAATTTCGGGTCTCAAGGCTGCTGGAAAATGACTGGTATTTCTAGGCAAATAAATCTGTCTGATCAGGTGTGTAAATTGCCTATACAGATATGAAACTGTTCTACACAGATTCAAAATGAAAACTGGACAGATCTTGAATCTGTCCGAATTTCAACAACCCTTAAGACAGAATTTTGGATGTATTTTTATCGACCACAATCTGTAGGAACAAGTCTCTAATATATAGACCCAAACAGGTACAAAAGTGAACAGGTGTGAACTATTTTTGAACAGATGCAGTTAAAAAACAAACAGATTTGCAGCCAGATTAATGAATCTGTTCAGCAGTTACAAATCAGTAACTGCTGGGCAGTTATTAGCACTGTTCAAACAGTTTACAAAACATAATTCGGACTGGAAGAGGCATGGACAGAAAATTTAAAATAATTTTTGAAAAAATTCAAATGAATTTTGTCAAAAAAATTAATACAAGAACCAACCCGACCCACAACCGGCACGGCTCGCTCGGACGGACGGCGATGGCGGCGCGCGCGTGTGGTGGTTTGGGCTAAGGT